ATTTATTAAACTTAAGGCAATTTTTATTCATTATTAACACTTTTATGTCTTTTAGTATTTTAGTTTCTATATCTATAATAATAAGAAGATGAATGTAATAATTCTTTTTTTTTTTATTGTTGTTTCTTAAGGAGATAATTGTACTATTTTTATACTATTTTGCATTTTTTTTATTATTTCTGATATATTTTAATTATTGAAAATTTTAATTGCAAAACATTTATTTTTTTATTCATTGATTTTAACTAGTTAATTTTAAAAATTGTTTTCATTCATTTTTATAATCATTTATAAAAATTTAATAAAATAAATTTATATTTTTTCAATATTAGAATCTTTAAACAAAAAAACTTTAAATATAATAATATTTTAAAAAAAAAAAATATTTAAATAAAAATAATTAATTTTATTAAAATAGACCATAAATATATTTAATTTATATATATATATATATATATATTTATTATAATTAAATTTTAATATATATTAATTTATCAGTATATAATTTTTCTCATTTAAAAAGAATATATTTTAATAATTAAAATATTATATCAAAATAATTATTATTTATAAACTTATATAGTATAATTTTTAAATACATTTTATAATAATTATTTTAAATTATTTAATTAGATAATTTAATATAAAACTGAAATTCAAAAATAATCAAAATTATAATTTCAATAATTTAAATTTAAATTAAAATTAATAATAATTTAATTATTATTAAATATAAATAAAAAAAAAAAAACAAAACAAAACATAATAATTAAAAAAAAATTATATAATTTTAGTTTTAACTATATATTTATTACATATTTTAAATATTATATTAAATATTTTATTATTTAATTATAGATAAATTATTAAAATGTAAAATAAATTAAATTTTTTAACCTATATATTCTATAAAATTCATATTTCTATATTTTAATTTTAATTGTTTAATATTGTGTTATTTACATTAATATTATTACTCGCTACATCATTTTATATTTTTTCAGAAACTCTTACTTCTTAATTATAATTATTTTAGTATTCAATTTATTTATCAAATAAAGATAAAGTAGAGCTTTTTGGGCTTTTTACATTATCAATATCTTAATAATCCATTTTAATAAATTAATTTAAATTTTTAAGTTCTGCATAAGCACTATTTACTTTTATTTTATTTCCTTAGCTTCTATTACTTACAAATAATTATTTGATAAATTAACTTTCATTTAAACTCTAATCTAAAGTTTTAAAATCTAATTTTAATTTTTAATCTAGTTTATTAAATATATCATCAATATTTTATTTAAATTATTTTTCATATTAAGATAATAGAACTTAAGATTCTTGCAAAAAAGAAATATCTTATAAATTTTGAATTGATTCTAATTATTCTGAATATTCGATGCATTATTTTATTTTAGGATTTATTATTTTATATTTCTTTTATTTTATTGCTTACTAAATTATTAATTTTCCCTGTTATTTCTAAGTTTACTTATATTTCTTTATTCACTGGTAAATCCTTTATTAAGTTTGATAATAATTAGCTTGAAGTACTTGAGTTTATACCATATAAAAGCAACTATTCAAAAACTATTTTTTTTTTTATATAATGAATAAATTATAAAGATATTTTTTTTTTATGATGGAAACTATAAAAATGTGTTAAATATATTAATATATAATAAATAAAAAAAAACTATATTAAACTATTACTTTGTTCTGAAATTTTTAATTCATTATCTTGGTTTATATTTTATTAATGAATAATGTATTACTCGTCTGTGATTATTTGCAATTTTATTATTTTTAAAGTATTATCATGAATTTATTGGTTTAAAATTATATCAAAATCTTTATCATTTTTAATAATAATGTCTTTATATTAATCCTTTTTTATTTTTAATTTTTTAATACATTTTATATTTATTAAAAATAAATATATTACTTTATATAAAAAGTAAATATTATTAAATCCTTTTAAGTCGAAGTTTTTTTCACAGAATTATTTTAACTTAAAAAATGTTATTTCATTTACTTTTACTCTTTTAAAATTATTTAAATATTGTAATTTAATCATTTTTTTTGCTTTTTTTTTTTTTTGTAAAAAATTAAATAATTGGTTAAGTTTTTATTTTGTTTAATATAATTCTTTTAAATATTATGTTTTTATTAATATTTATAGAGATTAATAATTAATTAATATATTAATTTTTATATTTAAGAAAAGAAAATTATGGATAAATTAAAAACTTAATTTAAATATTAGTTTTTCCTAAGCCAGAAATTATTAGTATAATAATTCTTTTGAATTATTTTAATATTTATTAATTTATAATAGCTTATAAAATCTAGATCAAATTTATTTAAATTAATTTTTTTTTTTTTTAACAAAATAATTTAAAAAACATAATTAAATTATATATAGAAAGAAAAATAGATTATTAAATTTGAATGTATAAGTTAAGTTTTTCTTTTATTAATTGAAACAATATTAAAAAATATACAAAAATTATAATTGTTAAAAATTTCTTTTTCTTTATTAATAAATATACTATTAAATTTCATAGTAATTTCTCTTTTATATTATAAACAAATCTAGATAATTTCCCCACCAAATTTTTAGCAAAATTAAAATATTCTTATACTTAGTTAGAATTTTATTTTTATTCTTGATAATTAATATTTGCTTCCATAACTAAATTACTTAAATTTTATTGTGTCTCCTCGTTTATTTCTATATCATTCATAATATATATTTAGCTATCTATAATTAAAAAAATTAATTATTATATTAATTTTAAAAGATTTAAATATAAATACTTTATTATTGTGTATAAAATCCAAATTTAGCTATTCTGTTTGAATTTAAAGGGATAATTTCTTCGCATTATATATCAGTATTCTTTTTATAAAAATAAAGTAAATTAATTTATTATTTTTATAAAAATTATGTTTACATTATAAACTACAAACAGAATTTATTATTCTTATTAATTTTTAATAATACTTTTTATATAAGCTTAATGCCAAATATTATTAAAATCCCTTACATCTATACTCATATTTATTTGAGGTGTTTCTACTCTATTTATTTAAAAAAAAAAAAAAAAAATTATAAATTAAATCATAAATAGAAATTTTATATATTGTCATATAATTTTAATTATTTATAAAATAATTTATATATATATACTTCATTAATTAGCTATATTTTTATATTTATAATTATCTAACTGTTAATTTAATATCAACTTAATTAAGGTCTATATATCTTTAAAAAAAAAAATATTCATATTAATTATAAATAAAATTAAATTAAAAAAATAATTAATAAAATTATAATATTACCTGAAAATTATGTTTTACAATAATAAATTTGAAAATAATTCTAAATTATGATTGATTTTTTTGCATATAGGACATCGCTAATTTTTATAAAAAAAATATATAAATAAAAAATAATTAATTCAATATTCTAAAATATATAGGGATTATTTTACATTTTATTTTTAAAAAACCTCAGTTAAACAAAACTCACAAAACGAATGCCCACACACAGTTTATACGCAATTTATTATAACATCCATACATATAGGACATTCAATTTATTTTTAGTTCATATATTATATGAATAAGTCTTAATTATAGACTTTATTAAATAATTAATATAATCGAAAAATTATTAATATTTTTACTTAATTATAATTTCTAATTCTTTATAATATTTTTATCATTATTTTAACTATCTTATTTATCTATGTTAATTTGCTTTTTTTGTTTTTTTATTCGTTTATTCTTTAAGAAATATTAAAGAAGCTTTGATTATGTTATTATATAACATTTTTCAAATTATGTTTTTTTAGCTTTTTTAGATTGTTTGCTTTAGGTTGTTTTCAAAAACATGTTTATATAAATCTTTTTATTTTTTTATATATTAATTTAAAAAAAAATAAATAAATAAATTTAAATTAGAAGTTAGAGAAACTAAAAATTAAGTATTAGCTAATTTCTATTATAAAAATTTTTTTTAAAGTTATTTTATAAATAATTTAAATATTAAAAACATATAAATATATTTAAATTTAAAATTTATAATAAAATATGTTTTAAACACTTTTTTATTTTAGACTATTTTTTTAGAATATCTTATCTATAAAATAAACATGAATTTATAAAATTTATATTAAATAATATTTTTATTTTTTATAGCAAATTTAAAATCTTTATTTAATATTTCTTTACACAATAAAAATCTTAATTGATGTAAAAAATATAAGTATTAAATTTTTAAATTTAAATTCATAAATAAAGAATCTTAAAAAAAAATATAATTATAATAAAAAAAATATTATTTTAATTAATAAAATTATAAAATTAATCAAAAAAACTTATTATTTTTAATATTTTTTTTAATAAATATAATAAGAAATATAATATTCATAATTTTAATTTATTAATTATATTCGAATCAAATTTATTTTGATTTATAATTTTTAGAATATTTTAAAATATTGTTAATAACATTTTTTCTTAAAATTTATTATTCATGTATTAATTTTAATTTTAATATTAAATTATTATTTTTAAAATCAAATACTCATATTTATTTATATTTTTTTAAAAAATTTAGAGAATATTTTTTAAAAACTAAAATAAATCAAATTTAGTTTCTCTTAATATTTATAAATAAATTTTTTGGAATTTTAGTATAATTACTGTGCAATTAATTGATAAAAAAAAAATTATTTTTAAAAACACGTTTTCCGTATTAAATGTGAGTTAAACATTTTTTTATGTTTAAGATAAAAATAATCATTAAAATTAGTAAAGAACAATTAAATTAAAAGTTATTTTCGAGAAAAAAAAAAAAATGAAAGAAAGAAAGAAAGAAAGAAAAAGAATAAATAGTATTAAAATAAAATTAGTAATAAAAAATATAAAAATTATTTTTTTTAAAAAAAAAAAAAAAGGAAAAAAAAAAAAAAAAAAAAAAATAGTAAATGAATAACTTTTATTATCACGATTTACAATCTGAAGTAAAAATAATAAAGCCTGACTCAATAAAAAAAGCTAAAGCGTTAGGATTAACATCATCTCGTTTTAAAAATTAAGAAATGAGTAATTCAACAAAATAAATAATATAAGATGCCAAGAAGCGTGATAGGACTTATATGGACTTAGATGAATGGGGAAAATCAAAATATTATTAAACTAATTGGTGTAAATTATTAAAGGAAAACTGTCCAGATTAAATAGAAAGAATAAACTTTTAACAAATTTCAACTGACTTTTTTATTTAAAATTATGAAAAATAAGCAAAACCATGTGTAATCACAAATACTACTAATCATTTAGAGGTAGAAAAATATTGGACTTTTGGCCAATTATATGAAAGGTATAAAGACGTCAAGTTTAAAATAGGAGAAGATGATAAAGGCAAAAAAATAAGGGTAGAATTAAAGTATTTCTTGGAATATTTAGTCCATAATACCGATGATTCTCCTTTATATATGTTCGAGTCTGCAATTGAAGATATAAAGGAGGCTAAAAAAATGATTGAAAAATATGAAGTCCCTAAATTTTTTAAAGAAGATATCTTTTAATACATCGGAGAGAAAAAAAGACCACCCTACAGATGGTTTTTAGTAGGTCCAGAAAGATCAGGAACAACAGTCCATATAGATCCTTTATGGACTTCCGCATGGAATACATCATTTTAAGGCTATAAAAGGTGGATTCTTTTTAAACCAGAAGTCCCAAAATTTATAGTTAAAGGTAAAAAATACATTCCAGAAGGCGAAGATGATGATGCTATTTAATATTTCACAAAAATACTTCCCTAACTAATCAAAGAAGAAGGACGTGAAAAATTAGGTTTTTTATTTTTTTAATAAAAAAATTTATACATACATTTTATAAATAGGGGTTATTGAGTTCATTCAAAATCCAGGGGAAACAGTTTTTATACCAGGTGGATGGTGGCATGCAGTTATTAATGTTACCGATACAATTGCTGTTACTCAAAATTTTATGAGTTCCAATAATTATACGGTTGTGTGGAGAAGCTTAAGGGAAGAAAGATAAAAATTGGCTTAATATGCAATTAAAAAATTCAAATAAAGAGTGCCTAAAATGTATGATAAAATCATAGAGTTAAATAGAAAAGATAACCATCTAATGTATTATGAAAAAAAGAAGTTAAGAAAAAAAAATATGAAGAAGATGAATAACTTTCTAAATATAATCCAGAGGAGCCTTTTGATATTACAGAAAAAAACCTAAATATTTAAGTAGTGATTATACCAGTAATTCTTCATCTTCTAGTAGTTCTAATAGTTCTTCTTATTATAATACATCTTCTGATTCTGAAAGAGAAAATTAAAAAGGAAAAAAAATCATAAATGAAATTTTTCAAATTATAAAAATATATCTTTTTTTATTTTATTTATTAATGATAAAATTAAAAAAATTATTTATGATATAAAAATATTTTATAATTAATTATAATTTAAAATAAAATAATATAATTAAAAAAAAGAAATAAAAATTTATAAAAATAATTAAAAAATATTAAAATTAAAAAAAAAAAAAATACTAAATATCAGAAAGTACAATAATATTCATATGTAAATATATTATTTTAAAATGCATACTTTTATAAAAAAAAAATCAAAAAATTAAATATTTTTTATTATTATATTAACAAATATAAATTTTTTTATTAAAGCGATAACTCTTTAAATATAAAAAAAACATAATTATTATCATTCAAGATATTAATTTAGATAGTTTGTCTAGTGATTATATATAATTATTTATAATTAAATTTACAAATTAAATATAATAAAAATATAATAATAATTTTTATTTCTTTATATATATATTTAATATTTGAGAATTTAAAGCTAAATAAATAGATTTCTATAATTATTATCAATAATATAATTATTAGATTATTTATTTATAAGAATAAAAATTAATAAAGATAATAGCTAAAAAAAGGGATTGCTTTTACATTTTAAATAAAAATGTATTTAATTATTAATACATAAAATAATAAATTACATATAATTTATGATTATTAAAAAATTCAGGATTTTTATAATAAAATATTTAAAAAAAATTATTTTATTATTAATAAATATATTAAAATTTTCATAAGAAATTAATTTTTGAAAATTTTATCAAAATATTAAAAAATATTACATTCAATTTTATAAAAATAACATATATAGAAGTAATGTAATTATTATTATTATTATTATTATTATTATTATTATTATTATTATTATTATTACTTATTTATTACTTTATTATTATTACTTTATTATTACTTTATTATTAATAATATTTTATATATTATTATATTAATAAAAAATATTATTATATTTATTTATTTATAATTTATTTAATTATTTTTTAATTATTTTTTTTAATTTTTTTTTTTTTTTTAATTTTATTTAATAAATATTATTATAACCTAATATTATATATTTTTTATTTTTATATTTTAATTTTTTTAATAATATAAATTTTATATTTTTTTTATTTTAAATAGTTTACACATTATATTTTAAATATGAATTATTCCATTAAATTTATTATTTATACTATAAATATTTTATTTATTTTATTAAAACTTTATTTTTACTATACTAAAGATTTAAATTTATGAAATATTTATAAAATTTAATATTAGAAATCTTATTTCGAATAATTTAAATTCTGATATTTTTATTATCATAAATGTTTATATATATATTGTTTAAATGATTTATTTATTTTTATTGAAAAAATGATAATAAAATTAATTCTATATTAATTATTTAATTTTTATTGTTAATAACTGACTATATTTATTATTAAATTAGGATAAATGAAATAGCTATAAAGAATTTAAATATATATATAATTTATTTATATAATCAATAAAAAAATAGCTGAAATTTGTAAATTTAATAAAATAATTATTTTATTTTATTAAATTTAATTATATAACATTTTTAATTTTATTTATCATTACTTATGTTCTTCATTTTCTTCATTTCCAATCTAAGCTATATGCCTAATACATGCCTAAAGTGTAATAATTAAATATCCTGAGATGCTATTTAAAGTTTCTTTAGTGACGAAATTTTCAATTATTTTACAATGAGTAAAAATATCATAAATTTAACTTTTAACCAATATATAACAATAAATACCAGTTAAATTATCAGCATCATAAATAATATCTTTTAAACTTAAATTAAATTATTAGTAGAATTCCCTTATACATTTATTAATTATTTCTTAAGATTAAATAATAATTTTTAATTTATGTACAGGGCTGTTTTAAAATTAGATTTATTTAAATAATTCATAAGCTTATTTATAAGGTTCAAAAACTACGCCTGGCTTTATATTTTAATTAAACTTTTCTAGAGTTTTTTCATTTAAACAATATTGATCTTAAATTCTCATTTACTAAGGTTAATAATTTTTTAATTTGTATTTTATATTTAAATAGAATTATTTTTATAAATCAATTTCTATTTAACAATGAGAAATATATATAATATCATAAACTTTTTTTTCTCTTAATATTAAAGCGACAATAAAATGGATTAAATTATCAATAGTTATTATTTATTCAGAATTTTCACATAAATCAACTAATTTGTCAATTTGATAATAAAATCTTAAACTTTCTAAAAACAAAATTATAAACTCTTTAAAACATTATACTAATTCAAATAATATTTCTGCTGTAAAAAATTGATATTTCGAATATTTCTCTACAAAATAATAAATAAAATTATCTTTAGATATTTACAAAGGGCTATTAAACATTAAATCTTTCAATATATGTTTTTCAATGATAAAAGTAATTATCTTATAATAAATAATTGATTTCGCTATTCCTTTATCTATAAATTATATTTATTCAGAAGGTACTAACAAAGTATTATTTTTAAGTTTATCTTAATGAAATTCACTAAAATTAACATTTTATATTAAAGAGAAATTAAGAGATTTATTTTTCATTGAAAATGATTAAAAACTTTTCTAAAGTTTATTTTTTTATTTTAAGAATAATTCATATCCTGTTAGAAGCTTTAAAAATTTTCTTTTATATCTTCTATTTCTTCATTTAATATTTCAGAATTTTATATTATTTACTTTATATGTTCTTGCATTTTCTTTTAATTGAATTCTTTACTTATTATTTTTTTGCAATTAAATACTACTTCTTATTATTATTTTTATATATTTTATTACTAACTATATCTATTTTTTTTCACAATTTACTTAAATATTTTTTTTTCAAAAAATTAACTTTTTCTAGAAATTATTCTCATATTTAAATTCCAATCTTTGATTATGCTTATTTATTTTCCTAGATTAAAACAATCATTACAATATTAGTCTTATTAGAATTTTTATATTTCCTTTTCAATTAATATATTATCATGTAATGTTTCTAAATCTTAATAATTTGCTATTTATTATTATTTACTTGTTATTTCAGAGAATCTAGTCATATCCTATATATCTATATGTGTAACTTACTCAATTATCTATTCAAATGTTTTTGAAAAGTTATGTTCATGGTTTTGATTTAAAATAAAGCTAGTCTTTTAATTACATATTAGTAATTAGTCAAAAAAGTCTTAATTTTAACTATTCTTTTTTATTATTTTTGATTTTTATTAACCCATTTTTTTAATTTAGTTTAAATGATTTATTTTTAATTTAATATATAAATAATTAGTATATATCAATTATGTAATTAAAATATATAATAAAATAATAATATTTAACTATTTTTAACAAATATTTTATATCCTTAATTTGATTGTATTGTATTTTATCTTTACTTGATTTTAGCTTCAAAAAAAATATTCACTAAATAAATATAAGCATAAATATATATATTAATAATTTTTGGAGATATAGAAATAAAAGATTATATTTAAAATAAATTATTATAATGGTATAATAATATAAATTTAAATAAATATTAAAAAATTTTGATATTTTTTAAATATATTGTTTAATGTATTATATTATTTTGTGAAGATTAAAATAACTCAGTAAAAATACAAAAATTTAAGAATAATATTTTAAATAATTTAATTATAAAAAATTTAATTGATATATTATAGAATGAATTAAAACATAAATAATACTGTATCATTAAAACTTAATTCTTGTTCGGGTTTTTTTAAAGGTTACAAATAAAAAAATACATTAAATTTTTAATTTTTTAACTATTAAAAAAAGGCGAATAAGATCTAGGTTTTAATAATAAAATATACAACTACTTATTTTGCTAACACTTGTGTTACAATTTTCATATCATTTCATAATACAGATCAGGAAATAAATTTTTAATATTAAGGAATAATTAAACCATTATATTTTTAAATAAAATATAAATTTTATATAAAAGTTAAAAATATATTTTAATAATTAAAATAAAAAATTAATATATATTATTTATTTATTATTTATATTTTATAATACATTTTTTATTAATATATTAATTGTTAGTTTATTCAAGTTTTTATTTAACAAATATATTTACTTAGTTTTTATTTAAGAGTTATTTAAATTTAAATATGTTTACAATTATTTAAAAATTAAAGATATTTTTTTGTCAATATATTATTAGATCTTTCATTTTTTTTTTTTATAATTGAATTTTCATTCAAATTTTATAATATAATACAATTATTTTTTTAAATAATCTTATAATTATATATATTTATTTTTCATAATATTTCTTCTTTTTAGATTATGTTTTAATATTGTAAAAAAAATGATTTCAATAATATTTGTGATTATAATTCAAAAAAAAGATTAATAAAAATTAAATAAAACTTAAATTAATTTTAATCAAAAATTTATTGATTAAAATATTTTTAAAAAATATAAAAGTATATATATAATTATTAATAAATAATATACAATTCATTATTTTCTAAAAAATCACAAAAACAAATTAAAAATTACAAGATAAAGTAAAAATTGTATCAGTTTATATATAAATTTAAAAAAATATATATAATAAATAAAAAATAGTTTATAATTAATAGATTTTAAATAAAAATGTATTAATATGTGATGTTTAATTAATTATTTTAAATATTATATATTTATTTAAAATAAAATAATTTTTTTAAAAAAAGAAGCTCTAAAAAAGATATAAAAAATATATAAAAATAAATAATATATTTATTATATTAAATAAATAAACAAATATATAATTTATTATTATTTTTTCTTAAAAAAAATATAAAAATAATATTAATGTTAAAAAAATTAAGAGATAGGGTTTTACTCATAAATTTAAATGGATAAATTAATGATAAAATGTTACAAAATATATTTTTAAATATAAAATATAGCTGTAACATTAAAAAAAATATTTACAAGGACATATAAATTACATAAAAACTTACAAATTAGTAGCTTTTATAATATATAATTAATTGCGGTTTGTATAAACTCAAACGGAGGTAAAATATATATTTATATTTTATAATTAAAAGAATTTTATAATAATAGGATCAATTGTTTAAGCGAAAAACATACAAAATGCATTAAAATCATTATCATAATAAACAGGGTTAATTAAATATAATTTATTTTTTATTATTTTAATAATATATTAAAATTTATGCATAAAAGTGCTCCTGTTTACACTTTTGCTGAAGACACTTGTTTAAATAGTGCAAATATTATTTTAACTGCTGGAAATAAGTGTTTTGCAAGTATTTTTTTTATATATTAAAAAAAGATTTAATAATTATTTTTATTTTTAATAAATTTAAAAATAAAATATAAAAAATATAAAATTGTTTAAAATGAAAAAAAAAAAAAAATATAAATATATTTTCGAATATTTATTAATAAATTAAATTAAAAAATAAATAATAAACTAAGGTTAATTTCTCTTATAGGAGATTTAGCCTATACATATTAAGGGTTAGGACTTTAAAAAATTTTGTAAGAAAACTAAATAGATTAATAATTTATGTTTTAAGGAAAAAATAAAGTAAAGATGAATCCTTTTTGTGATTTTAAAAATGAAGATGTAGAATGGATGAAAAAAATACTATTATAAAAGAACATAGTTTAAAAAAATTAATTATTTCTAATAGAGCTAATAAATTTTAATACTTGAAATTAAGTAATGAATAAATAAACTAAAATATTCTAGAAAAACAATCTTTTGATTCAAAGCATGCACTTTAATACGGGTATATATAAATTCAATAAATTTTAGGTATTTTTTTTTATAAAAAAAAAAGATACATTGATGGTATTTAAATATTTGAAGATTTAGCTAATGAAATGTATAGTGATGTGAAAATTCATGATGTTTCTCATACTTTTAATGATTAAGTTACCGATCATATTAGATAATACATTGGGATATAAATATCAAATAATTGAATTTATATAATTTATTTTGAAAAAAATAAAATAAACGAATATATAATAATAATGAAATAAATATAAAAAATTAATAGAATAAATATATTTTTTTTTCATAAAAAAAAATAAAAAAATTCAAGGGTTAAATTTAATAAATAAACTAAAAATTAAAATAAAATAAACAAAATGTCAAAAAATAAAAAAAATAAACGAGTCCATCCTGAAATAGAAGATCTAGAACATAAAAAACAATAACTGAAAATTCAATAATAAGCAAAATAAAAAAAATAACCACCATAATAAATACTTTAAAACAACTCAAATGATTAATCATCATCAGATGATACAGATGATGAATAAGTAAAACAAACAAAAAAAACGATAAAAAACGATTGAATAAATCTTAAACTATTTTTAAAAAAAATAAAAAATAAAAGATATTATCTAAAATAGGAAGGGTACCTTGGAAATGGTACGAAAATCATAAGCATATGGGCTATGATGCAGATTTAAAATAAGTATAAAAACTATCTTAAGGTAAAATTTATAAAGATTAAATTGTTAGTATTTTAAATAAAAAAAAAAGATGATAAGATAGAGGAGTTTATAAAAAAAGCTGAAAATCCTAACTGGTGGCGTATAATAAAAGACGAACTTAATTAAAAAGAAATAGTTTTAACAGATGAACAGTTAAATTTAATTGAAAGAATTAGAAAAGGAAAATTTGCATCAAAAACCATAGCTTAAACAGACGTAAAAAATTAATAAAATATAAATTAAAAAAAAAATAGTATTCAGTAGAATATGAATGGAATGATCCCTTTCCATTAAACTTTAACCCTCCAACAAAAAAGAATTTTATGCCCTCTAAAAACGAAAGAATTAAAATTAATAAATTCATGCAAGCAATATAATTTGGTAGAATAGACCTAACTAGATATCTTCCTTAACCTGAAAAAGTTGAATCTGAAGACGAGATTCCTTTATATGACGTATGGGAAAATGATAAACCTGATGAAATTTAAAAGAATCTTCCTCCAGCAATATCAGCCCCGAAATTAAAACTACCTGGACATAATGAATCATATAATCCACCAGAAGAATATTTAATGACTGAAGTAAAAACAAAAAAAAATAAAATAAAAAAACTAAAAAATAAATAGAAAGAAAAAAAAGAATGGTTGCAAACTCCTCCAGAAGAGCGTGAAATATCATTTATACCATAAAAATATGATTGTCTAAGACATATATCTTTTTATCATAATCTAATACAAGAAAGATTTGAAAGACAATTAGATTTGTATTTATGTCCCAGAATCCGTAAGAAAAAACTTGATATAGATCCTGAATCATTAGTACCAACACTTCCTAAGCCCAAAGAATTGCGTCCATATCCCACAACATTAAACATGTAATACAAGGGACATAAAAGTAGAGTTAGGGGTATTTCTATTAATTCAAATGGACAATATTTGGCTTCAGCAGAAGAAAAAGGATAAGTTTTTATATGGGAAGTATCCACAGGAAGAATTGTTTGGAAGCATTAGTTTGAAGGAATTTGCTATTCTATATAATTTTAGCCTTAATAAGATATGCTTATAATCGCTTGTGCCGAAAGTATATATCTATTTAATATAAAGAAAATCCTTCCTAGCAAAAAATACCAAGAAAACGAAGAGAGTATAGAAACTGCACAAAAAGAACATAAACTTGATATTGAACCTTAATTAAAGTGGGACTTCGAAGAATTAGGAAAAGATGACTTGAAAATAAAAATAACTTTCAATGACGAAATTAAATAAGTCTCCTTCCACGAAAAAGGTGATTATTTCTGCACAGTAGCCCCCAAAGCAAACAAAAGAAATGAGCAAATATTCATTCATGCAATTTCAAAAGGAAACTCAACTAAACCTTTCACCAAAAGTAAAGGAGATGTTGAAAAAGTATCTTTTCATCCTTCTAAGCCTATTATTTTTATTATGACTAAGAAACACGTTTTTGTCTTTAATTTATAAAAACAAGTAAACTTTTATATTATTTTATAATTTATCATTTTTTTAAGTAAACAATGAAAAAATTACTCACAGGAGCTTAATGGAATTCATGTATTGATGTTCATCCTTATGGAGATAATGTTATTGTAGGATCATTTGATAAAAAAGTTACTTGGTTTGATCTTGATTTAGGAAATACTCCTTATAAAAATCTTAAATATCATGAAAAAGGTGTTAGATAAGTAAGCTTTAGTAAAAAATATCCCTTAATGGCCTCCAGCTCTGATGATGGTTTTTTTTTTTAAAAAAAAATAAATATAAAGATCATATTTATTAATTTTTTTTTTCATAATTAAAATAAAGGTACAATTAATATTTTCCATGCAAAAGTTTACTCTGATTCTTTCGAAAATGCTCTTATTATTCCTTTGAAAGTATTAAAAGGACATAATATACATAACAGTTTAGGTGTACTCGATATTATTTTTCATCCTAATTAGCCTTGGATTTTTTCTGCAGGAGCAGATCATCGTATATTCTTATGGACATGAAAAAAAAAAAACGAGATATTTATTATTTTAAAAGTTTTATTTATTTTTTGTAAAAATTAAAGATATATTTTAATTTATCTTTTATACAAAAAAAAAATATATATATATGTATATGTATTTTCATTCTTCTTTATTTCTAATTTTATATTTTTATATTAAATAGAATTTAGGAATTAAAATATTAAAGCCTTTTACTTTATCATCACATTTATTAAATTCTATATTTTTAAAATCAAACAGTTTAAACAATTTTTTTTCATTTATTTTACATACTTATAATTAACACAACAAAAATTGGATATTCCTCTAAATAAACTTTATCAGTAATAATTTAAAAAAAATGCGACATAAAGCCTAATATATAATATACATTTTTATTATATTATATATAATAGAATATAGTCTATTTTATTAAACAATTTCTTTTTATTATTTACATTTTCAAATTATTTTATTTTTATATATATTTATTTTAATTATTATTAAAATTGTTTTATTTATACTCGAAATATAATTGATTTTTAATCTTTTTATCGTTTTTATTTTATAAATTTATGATTTAAATAATTAAACCAAGATTAAAAATTTAGTGTCTGCTTATTCTATTTAAATTTTTATTTAAGTTATGCAAATTAAATTATTTTCATTATTTTAATATTATTTATTGTGTTATTATAAAGTTTTTATTTTAGCTTACTCTATATATTTTTAAATTATTAATTATTAATATTATTTTTTTTTCCTTTTTTTTAATTTTGAATATAAATTTTGATAATAATTGTTATATATTGGGTATCAGTATATCAATATTATATTATATTTTACAATTTTTAACATTAAATATTATTTATTAATTACTAATATAATATAAATCACAAAAAAAATATATTTAAATTAATTTAATTATAAACATAGATTTTATTATTATTTATAACCTTAAAATTTAAAATCTCAGTAACGATATTTTTAAATTGCAATAAAAAAATCTACATATTTAAATTTATTAAAAATATTTTATATTATTCATTATTTCTTATTTTTTGCATTTTTAAAAAATTCTTAATCTTCTTAAATTTTATCCTTTTTCTTTTTCTCAAAATAAGATTATGATCCCTATAACCATTCTTTAGGAGGCAAATCTATTTACAAAAATTATTATATTAATGAATAAATAAATATATATAAAAGTAACTTTTTTTATAAATTTTTTCTTCTAATTAAATTCCAAAAGTCGTACAATATCTCCTGTAAGTAACATCATCTAATAAAGCTGAGAACTAAACGCATCCATATGGATATTATTTAGTTTGATCATAATTATAAACTTCATTTTCGATTCTAGTAATATTACCATTTCTAAATAAAATTAATATGAATAAAATAAATAGATATTTAATTACAAATAAAGCCAATCAAATCTTTGTTTATGTTATTCAAGAGGATTAATTAAATTATAATATTTTTTATTCATTAATTCATTAACTTTTTATTCCATTACTTCGACTAATTTTCCAATATTAGTATTATAAAGTGCTGAAACAGGAATCGATGGAAAGTCTTATTTAAGAGCATCTTTATAGTCTACTTTATTTTTAACTAAATCCATTTTATTCCAAACTTCAATCTTTTTGTTAGATTTTGTTTGATGAAATTAAAATAAAAATTACCATTTTATTACTATAAAAAGACTAATCAAACTTTAAATCTTTTAAGACTTAAAGAACAGTTTATTTTTATTATTCAGTTTATGGATGAGATATATCTCTTACATGCAAAAACAAGTCCGAGTTTTGTACTTCTTCTAGTGTAGACTTAAAAGATTCAACTTATTTTTATTTATAATTATTATTATTTTATTTGATAAAAATCTACCTAATTCATGAGGTAGATTTGTTATAAATCCTATAGTATCTAGAATTATAGCTTTTTATCCTTAAATCAATTATATTCTTATATTTTTTATAAAAAAATAAAATAAATATAGAATGATTTTAAACATACTTTCTTGAAGTTGTTGATAAAGTTTAAAATAAATTATCTTTACTTTCTACAACTTCTTTTTTCACTAAAGCATTCATTAAAGCACTTTTCCCAGAATTAGTATATCCAATCTTTTTTAAAAAAATATTAATAAACAAAATAAACATTTTTTTTTTTAAAAAAAATAAAAAAACTAAGATAATATATTTTACAATACAAGCGAAATTTTTGGAATATTATTATGTTATTTATTTCTTTTTTCCCTAATAAAAGTTTATTATTATTAAACACCAGATAAATCTTTTTTAAGTTTGGAAAGTTTTTCATCAATTAATCTTTTTTACAATTCAAGTTAAGTTTCTCCTTAACCTGAAGCTTTACCCCTTGTTGCTCTACTTTTAGCACTAACGATTTCTATATTTAATTCATTTACACTCATTAAATCTCCTTTAAAAATGCTATAAACAGAACTAAATGTCTAACCTCCATCTCTCTAGACTTTAGTTTTCATATAATTTAGGAAACTAATTTCTATTTAAAGTTTAGAAATTTAAGTTTGGGCTCTTTTGGCAAAAATTTATAAGATAATAGTGAATCTATCAAAAACTTTTATTTTTCTATCATCATTGTCTTAATATTGATTATCTTCTTTTTTTTCCATTAAACCATCATCACTTTCAACTTCCGTATCAGAACTTTATTAAGGATTTTTTTTAAAAAATGCTTCTTCTTCTTTCCCATTTACTATATTACTCCATATTCTATGATTTTTATTTTGGTTTAAAAAGAATATACATATATAAAAAAAATAAACTTTTCTAAATTCTTTTATTAAGTTGTAGTAATTTCACTATTAATAAAAACACAATCAATATTTTTATCTTTAATATATAAACCTAAATCTAATAATTTTCCTTTAGTAAAATAAGTTTTGCCTATTATTCTTTTAACTTTCATTAAAGAACTTTTTGCAATAGATTCCCTTAGTAATCTATTTTACCATTCATGTTATAAATCTGCATCTTCATCACTTTCACTTTCTAAATCAACTATAATTCCTGATTTCTTTTTTTTATAATTTAATTATATTTTTAAATTATTAAATTTTTACATAGTATGTTCCTTTAAAATATGGAGTATAAATATAATCTCCATCTTTTAAATTTGCTTCGCCTGCTAATTCCCATCCTGGATGATTTTTTAATTAATTATTGGGTTTTTTAATTCTTCCACCCGGTGTTAAATCATATTAATCATCATCATTTGCATAATTCTCATCTTAATTTTTTTCTTTTAATTCTATTTATTTTTATTCTTATTTCCAAAAAGGACCTTATTCAATCTTTTATTTTTTTTAAAAAAAAAAATTTTTATTATTTTTTTGATTTTACAGCCCAATTTAAAGATTTTGCTAAACCAATAGCTTCTTCGGCTAAATATAATTCGATTTCTGGCCCTTTGCTTTATTTATTAGAATATTTTAATTATTTTTTTTAATTCTTTTTTTTACTTAGGATATAATACAGGATGTATAATTAAACATTTAATTTCTGGTGCAAAGCCAAAACTATGTATTTGTTTTTATTTACGAAAATCTAATTATTCTTTTGATTAATATAACTATCTTGGTAAATTAAATAAGGATTTATTTTAAAATTAAATTATTTTTTGTTATAAAAACTTTATCATTTTAATTTATTTTATATATATATATAACTAACATAATTTATTATTATCTTTTATTAATTAATAATTAATATATACTAATATATTTAAAATATTAAAATAAAAACAAAAGTTTATTTAAACTATATATATAAATATATAGTTTAATGTTTTATTTATTAAATATATATATTTGAATTTTAAAAAATTTATTATAATTTTTTTAGAATTTTTTTTTTTTTTGGATATTTTATAATTTAATATTTTCTATTTATAAAAAAAGCATTTTAAGAATCTTTAAAATATTAGTTTTACATAAAAATGCGAATATTATAGATAACATTCATTAAATAAATAGTTTTATTTTCATAAAGATTATTATATTATTTAATAAAAATAAAATTATTAAATAAGTAAATATATTATATTTTTTAATAATTAATGAAAAATTAATAAGTTTTTTTTTTTTCTTTGATAAATTTAAAATAAAATAAATTAAAGACAGATATTTTATATATTATTTTTATCTTATTTTTTTACTTTTTTTATATGAAATAATAAAATATTTTTTATTTTTATAAACTAAATATATTTATGTTTAAATTATCCCAAAAATAAATAAAATATAAATTATCTTAATTTATTAATTTTTGCATTTGCATATTATTTTTTGGTTTAAAATTTATCGAATAAGCAATTTATTAATAATAAATATTTCACATTTAGTTAGTTATTATATTATTCATATAATTAACAATTAAATATTAATAATAAAAAATAAAATAAAATAAATATGAGTGGATAATCTGAACAAACTAAAATAGATTTTACATTAGAACAAAATTATGATCAAATATACGAATAAGTAAAAGAAGAATTATTGGTTTATGGATAAGGACCAACCCCTAATTTAAACAAATTAGATTTAAATAAAGAAGAAGTACAATAAATAAAAGAAAATGGAATAGATAAATTTAAAGAAATCATGGCAAAAAATATTAAGGAAAAAATGGCTGAACATCAATCTAAATTTGATGAATAACAATAAAAATTGTTAAAACAACAAATTTAAGAAACTTAAGATAATGAAAACTAAAATCCTGAAAATAATTAAGAATAACAAAATAATGAAATAAAAGAATTATAAAAATAATAAAAATAACTTTTTAATCAATAATAAGACTTATCTTAAAATAATAATGAATAATAATAAACATAAGTTAGCTAAGAAAATTAATAAGAGTAATAAAAAGAAAGAGAAGAAAATAAAAATAATAATTAAGAAAATTTTCCACAAGAATAAATAGAAAAAAATTAGTAAGAAGAAAATGCAAATGAAATAAAAGAAGAAAATCTTTAAAAAGAATAAAAAAATGATGAAGAGAAAAAAGATGAATAAGAAGAAGAAAATAAAGAAAAAATAAACTAAGAGCAAAAATAGGAAAATGTAAGCTTACAATAAGAAAATAAAAAATAAGAAAATGTAAATCTTTAATAAGAAAACTAAAATCAAGAAGAAAAATAAGAATTAAAACATAACATAGACGAAAACTAAGAATAAATACAAAATAATTAAAACTAAGAAAATCTAAACCAAGAAAATCTAAACCAAGAAAATCTAAACCAAGAAAATCTAAACCAAGAAAATCTAAACCAAGAAAATTTAAACCAAGAGAATTTAAACTAAGAAAATTTAGACTAAGAAAATTTAAACTAAGAAAATTTGAACTAAGAAAACTTAAACTAAGAAAATTTAAACTAAGAAAACTTAAACCAAGAAAATCTAAACCAAGAAAATCTAAACCAAGAAAATTTAAACCAAGAAAATTTAAACTAAGAATTAAAACAAGAAAATGAATACGATAGAAAAGAAGAAGAAAGTAAAATAGAAATTAAAGAATAAGAAATTAAAAAAATAGAGTAAGAACTATCAAATACACAAAAATAACTTTTAGAAGAAATCTAAAAATAATAAAATTAGCTTTTAATAGAATAAGAATAAAAATAAGAAACATCTTAAATAGACGAATAAATTTAAGAAACTATAGTTTAGATAAAAAATGAAGAATCTAAATAGAGCGAAAATGATTAAATCTGGTCAGATTAATAATAAAAAGACTAAGCAGAAATCATCATGGATTAAAACTATGAAAATCCCCCACAGAATTCTTTCGAAAAGTCAATATCATAATAGAACCTCATATAGAAATAAGAGTATCTATCTTAAAATTATGATTGTATAAAAGAAGAAGAAAGTGATAAAAAGATAATAAATGATGTTCGAGATTTATAAGGTATGAAAATTGGATCAATAAAATAAATAATTGCTTAAGAGGAAGGAGAAAAATATATCAATTTGTAAAAATATAAACTTTATAATACTAAAGGAGTAGTAGGTCGTTTATATAAAAAGTAAATTGAAGTAGAAAACAAAATATAGAAAATGAAAGAAGACAAATAAGAAAATGAATAAAAAAAACTATAAACCTCTGTTTAATTGTGTAAAAAATCTTAGAAAATTGTAGAAAAACTAAAACTAGAAAAAATTGAAAAAAGGACTTAGTAATTAATTGATAAACATTAGAAAGAAATAGAAGAAAGAAAAGTTTAAAAAGAGGAATTTGAAAAAAAAAAATTCCTAGAAGAATGTACATTTTAACCTTCTATTTTAAAAAAATATCAAACTTAAAGAAATATTATTGAATTTTATCATTTTTAATAACAATGGCTTGAAAATAAAGGAAAAAATATTCTTTTTTAATAATTGGATATGTAAAAAAAAGAACTCTAAAGTATTACTTTTAAACCTAAAATCAACAAATAAAGTTATTTCTTAAATAGGCCTGAAAAAGTTGAAGAAAAGTTGCTTTCAGATTATGAGAAAATTCAAGAGAAAAAGAAAATTATGTTAGAATCTAATCAACCTTTGTTTAAACCTATTATTTTACCTAAGTCCTAAAGATTAGCTTAAAAAAGAAGAGAATAAGATTGTTAATTTTATAATGATATGTTTTCTAAAACTGAAAGATACGATTCTAATTATAAATCATTTAATCTTTGAAAATGATGCTCTATTTATGTTTATTCTTTTTTTTATTTTTTGTTTTAATATTTTATTATGATATAGTATTGATTAATATAAAAAAGATTGATTAATATATTTAATTTTATTTTTTTTAAAAGATAAATTGAAAAACATTTTTATTTTATTTTTTTAACAAAAAAAAGTTGAAACTTTTAATTAATTTAAATAATATAAAAATAAATAATTATAATTTTCCTTTTAATAATTGTAAAAATATTTTTTATTTTAAAAGAATATTAAAAGCATATATATTTGTAATTTTTTTCAATAATAAATCAAAAAAATTTAATTTTTTTAATTTGCGAATTTTATATTTATAAATTAGAAATATTGCTTTATATATTTTTAAATTAAAAGATATTATTATAATTAATTTTATTTATTACTTCTATTATTAATAATAATTTTAAATATTTTTTTTTATTATAATTAATATTTATATATAAATTGTTTTTCATTCTAAATTTTTATAAGAAATATAATAATTATTTAATAAAATAAATATAATATTTTATTTTTATTCTTTTTAACTTTAAATCTTATAATTATTTTATATAATTTTTTTTTTTTAATTTTATATTTTTTTTTATCATAACTCTTGTTTTAATTATTATTAAAAAAAATGAATTAAATATAAAATTTTATAAAAAATATTTTTTAAAATTATATATAATTGAAATACATCTTAATTTAAAATATATTTTTCTATTAATTTATAATTTCTACAATCAAAAATATAAATTAATAATATTAAATTTTTCAAATTTCTATATTATTATAAGTTAAATATGTTGATAATAATAGTACGATATTTATATAAATACAAATTAACAAAATAAATATATGATATTTAGCTTTATATAATTAAATTAATTTAAATAAAATCAATCAAATAAATAAAAACTTAAAATAAAAAATATAATAAAAAAAGAGACTTTTTAAATAAAAAATTAATTTTTATAAAATGGGTTGTGTAATAGTAAAATAAAATAGTAAAAAAGCTACTAGTTAATTGTAAAAAAAATCAACTTAAAGTAATTAAAATAATTCGAGAAGAGGTTCAATGAAAAATGCGGCTCGTAAAAGTTCACTAGAATATCATAAATAGCATTCAGGTAATGAAGCAATATCTGCAAATTAAATTGCTTAATAAAAGTAATAATATTATAATTATGGCAAATAAAATAAAAGATGAAAGTTTTTTGTTTATTTTTTTGAAAAAATAAATTAAAAACAAATAAAAAAGATAATTAGCAATTATTTTTAATAATGAATAATATTAATTATAAAATATGTTATATTTTGTTAAAAGTTATAAATGAAAAAATTATTATATATATTCATATATAAATATTTTAATTTTTTTTATATATAATATTATTTTGTTTATTTAAAACAAAATATGAATTATTTTGAAATAGTATATAAATTAGATATAAAATTATTTTACATATATTTCATTTTAAAATAATTAAAATTTATTTTTAAATTCATAATATTAAAAATAAATAATTGATATAAAACAATAATTTTCTCAATCTTAAAAAATGCTTGAATAATTTTCTTATTAATCTTCTTCTTCCATATGAGAATATGATTTCGTTTAATTATTATTGTGTTTTATAGCACTTCCTGATTATTAAGAGTATTCTTATTATATATATTTATTTTTATGATCGTTTTTTTCTTCTAACTCTACTTATCCTTCTTCTAAATAATTATTATCTTAGGATATTTATTCTTCATTATATTTTTTATCTGAAATTTCATGATATTCTTAAATTGAATTATTTTATTAAATTTCTTATTCTTCAAAAGTTTAGTTTTCTGATTCTTTATATTCATAACTTGCTTATATTTTCTCACTTAAAATTTCTAAGTCTCCTATTTTTAAATAATTAGGAACTCTCCAATATATTTACCCTTAGCAAGGTCTTCTAAAGTTAATAGATTCTAGAATTTCTTGAACTTAAACATTATATAGAATATCAAAATCTTTTTAAGTAAAAGGAATTATTGCAAAATCTTAAATAAGGCTCATTTTTTCAATTTCAGTATATTATTGAAATTCTCTTTTTTTTTATTTAAGTTTTAAAATAAAATATTTTTTTTTTTTTAAAAAACTCTTCAAAATAAAATAAATATTCCTTGAAATTAATAAATATTTATTCAATAAATAATTTAAATTCATCTAAAGTAAAGTTAATTTTATATTCGTCTTTATTTTAAATCATTTTTATTAATTTATATATTGCTTTTTCTACAGAAACCTTTTTTTTTATAATATAATTATTATAATTATATTATTGTAATACTTTAGAATTTTAATAAATATCTTTAAATATAGCTTCTGCAGTAAATTTATTTTTATGTAATTTAAAATATTTAATTCTTTTTTTGACATCTAAAGGTTGTTTATCATAAGATCGAAATCCATTAAGTATCAAACACAGCTACTCATAACAATTTTCTAGATTTTTGAAAGTTTCATAATTATAAATTAAAGCTCTATCCTCTACTTCTGTCCATTTTTTACTTTCTCTTATTTATTCTAATATATTTTTTTTATTTTAAAATATTAAAAATAATTTTTATACATTCTTCTAAAATATCATTATCATCTTCTAAAGCAGTTTCTATTAATTCATTATTTTATTTAGATTCAATATCTTAATAATTACTAAGAATAGAATTTTTAAGTTAAAAATCTGTAAATCTAAATAACATTTCAACTACTAGAAGTTTATTTTCTTCAATTTTTACAAATAATTTATTAACTATTTTTTTAAAAAAATCCACTAGTTTTTTATGCTCGATTCTCATCTTTTTTATTAATATAATTATATATATATATATATATATATATATATATATATATATATATATATAATATAAAAAAAATACATTAACTTCTTTATTACTAAGTACACTCTAAATTACCCATAAAAAGTCTACTTAATAAAATAACCATTCAGCCTATAAAAGAGTTTAAATTTTATTCAAATACTTAAAGACAGACTCATTAACTTCTGGAGAATTGTAAAGAATTTTTTCATCGTTAATTAAATACAAGACCTTATCAATAATTGAATAATCAGCCAACATCGCAAATTCAGACTGTAAAGTATATTTCCTTTCTTAAAATTGAGGTGTATCATCATCTTCATCTTCATCCTCATCTTCTTCATCATCTTCGTCTTCTTAATTTTCATGTTAGATTTGTGATTCTTATTCTTAACTTTCTTCTATTTTCTTTTTCTTTTTTTGCTTTTATCCATCAGGTAAAAAGTCTCCTTCTTCATCATCTTGTTCATCTTTTTCTATAAAATCGTTTAGTTCTTCTACCTCTTATTATTGTGTTTTTCTTTTAGCATTTTTTTTCTCTTTTTTTTTCTTTTTTCTTACTTATTTATTAGTTTATAAAGTTAACACTTTACCTTTAGAAAAGCCTTCCAATAAATCAAAAAATCCAATAATTAATCTTAATAGGCATTTCAATATTTAATCTTCCAATAAACCTTTTTTGCAAAACTCAAAACCAATTCTTAAAGCCTTAATAATATCATGATGGAATATATTCTACATTAATATTTAAGCATTTTATCTTGTTTTTTATGAAGAATCTAAATTCATTTCTTTTATTAATAAAATTAATTCCAAAAAGCAATTTATTGAAGCATAAAATATTTTTATATTGAAATCTTTTTTCTTATTATTTGTAACCTATTTTTTGTTTATAAAAAATATAAAATATTAAATTTTTACTTATTAAACAATTTTAGAAAAAATTAATTAAAACTATGTCAATTATAAACTGGCTGCAATATCTCCTAATTCAAGTTCATTATTTTTATATTAATAAATATTTAATCTAACAATTTTTAATCCGAAAGCAATCAAAACAAAATAGTAAATAATATCATATTCTTCCAATTTTTCACTATTAGCATAAACTAAATTATAACATTATTCAATAAGCGGACAAAATGAATATTTAATAAACTCAAAAGCTAATTCTTTAACAATTTTCTTAAAAGAAACTAGTTCTAATTTCATAAAATCTCCTCCTAGACCTTCATCATGGACCGGAATCTCAACATTAAGTTCAAAATGTAACTTTTTAGGGAAAATGCCTTCTTAACTTCTCAAAAATTTTCTCGGAACAGACTGTTATAGTTATTTTTGGGCAAAGTTAACTTCCATTTTTTTCCTTATAATCCTCCTTATCCTACAAAAGGATTATCTAAAATCTTTCTAGTATCACCAAACAATCTTTAGTACGAGAAATTTTAATAAAATCTACTATGCCTAACTGGAATTGAGCCTTGAATTTTTTTTTTCCAATTTCTATCTTTATTCAAAAGTCTCAAAAACTCCTTATCCTTTCCTGAATCGTCTAAAAACCATTCAGGATCAAAACACGCAAACACAAAATAAAATATTTCTAAAAATTAAACATCTAATTTTTATAAAATACCCTTATTTTCTGTCAAATTAGTTAAAATATCAAACACAAAATCTCTTTTCAATTATAAAATTAAATGATAATGTAAATTTCTTTTTAATTCATTATTTACCATTTCCCTATTTAAATTATCTTTATCTTCAATAAATAATATATTTCTAATTAAAATTACTATTAATTCAATCATTTATTTATGCGCTTTTTGTTCTCCAACTTATATACAATCTCCTAAATGGTGCATTAAAGTTCCTATTACTTAAGGTTTTAAAAAACTCAGTTTATATTCGATTAATATATCTTTCATTTCTTACAAAAAAACGCAATTTTTTGATACAGGTTCTGTTAAATTCACCATCAATAAAATTAAATAAAATGCCAATTTTTTATCTTGATATTATGTAAGTAATAATTATATTATGTCGTTTTCAAATGTGTGCCATAAACCTAATTTTTTACGAGTTATTGGCTCTTCTTGATCATCTTTTCGAGTAAATCTTATTAAATCTTTTATACTTTCCTCGCAATGGTCTCCTTTTACATATATTTCGATCTGATTTACGAATTTGTTTGAACCTAAACCTTAAACTGCAAACAATAATTCGGATGTAAACTTTTCATGGTCAAATATTTCATTTTGTTTGTCATATTATAAATCAAGATTATCAAGGTCGTCTTATTCGTTTAATTCTCTTTATAAATGTTCACCTTCTTCCATTTTATTTTATATAAAATAATTATTTTTATTTGTTGATAAATAATAAAATATATTTATTAGTTTTTTTTTAAAAAAAAATATATAATTATTAATAATGAGCCTTTTTTTTTATTTTATTTAATTGGCGCAATAATATAAATAATTTATTTTCTAAAAAATACAAACAGTTTAATTTCTTTATTTTTTTTAAGTATATATAAATAATTAATTACATTTATTATTAATTAATATTTCAATATATTATTTGTTTATCAAATTTTTAAACAAGAGATTACAGAATAAATTTTAAAATAATTATAGATTTTAGAATATCATAAATTATTTAATGTCCTCCTATTTTTTAAATACAAAATTAAATTAACTAAATTTAAATTTACTTTATAGAGTTTCTGTTAACGGTTTTTCTTCATATTTTTTTTCATTCTTACTGTGATTATAATTTATTAAATTTAATTTCTTAAGGAAAAAAAATTCAGAAAATTTCAAGATTATATACTATTTCTTGGAAAATTATTAATCATAGATGTATATTTAATAATTAATGAAAAAAATAATTTTTAATTTCTTTAGATAAAAAATTATTATATATATCAAATTAAGATTGTAATAAATATGAAATATATAGTAATATAATTAAAGACATACTTTTGGAGGTGGAAATTAACTTTTTATATAAAATAATTGCAATTAAAGGAATAACTCATACTTTGCTTTTAAATATTCTTATGATAAATAAAAATAACAACTATAATTTATTGACCGCGTAAATAGCAATTTTAAGGTTTTTTAAATAGAATAAATTAATTAAAATATATTTTTAATAATAAAAATTATAATATCTTAATTTTTAATTTTTTGAAAATAATAATAATAATTTTATTTATTTTTTTAATTTTTAATTTATAAACTTTATTGTTTTATTATAAAAAATTTTAAAAAAGTAAATTTAATAATTTAAATATTAAACAAATATCTTAAAATTATATTATACTATATAACATTCAAAAATTATAATATATATTAAAAATCATCATCATAAAAATTTATATATTAATATATAATAAAAATATATTTAATTAATTTAAAAAATAATCTCAATATGATTTGATTAATTTCTATAAAATTATATAATATTAATTATTCAAATATTAAAATTATAATTTATTTATTTTTATTTCACTATTAAAATTATTAATTATTTATTAAGCTTAACTTTTAAGTTTTCGTTAAATATTAATATTTTTAAATTTTTAATTTATTAAAAGATCCTTAAATATACATATCAATCAATTATGTAATTATAATCTCTTATAAATTTTAAATTATATTTTTAGCCTAATTTACACACTAGCTTAAAATCAATTGCATAAAAAGACACATTATTCTTAAACAATTATTAAGTGATTTATAAATTTTTTAAAAAATTCTTCTATTTTAACTATTTAAATAATTTTCTTTAATTATAAATTTTTATCCTTAATGACTTTTAATTATATAGAGATTTTTATATTTTATATTTTTTTATTTTCTAATAAAAATCTTTAATGTTATTTTAAAATATTAAAACAAAAATAATAAAAAAAAATTAGTTTAAATTTTTATATAAATGAAAAATCTGTATAGTTGAAGAAGGCATATTGAATTTAGCTATGTAAAATTAAAATAATAAAAAAATAAATTAGACTATTTTATCGATATAAAATAATAATAGAAATAGAATTATATATTATAAATTTAAATGAAAAATAATTTTATTAAATTAGATTGATTTTAAACAAAGAAATATAATTATAAATTTAAAAATATTACATAAGAAAAAAAAAAATTAAATTAAAATTTATATAAAAACTATAAATATATATATAATATTTAATACTAAATACTAAATTATTTTTCTATTATATATTATGATGACAAAATATTTTTTATAAATACAAATTAACATATTAAGTATATAATTATTAATTTAAAACATTATTTAATTAAAAATAAATATTTTTAATAATCTATAAATAAATATATAGATAGTGATATAATTTCTTATATTCACTTATTATATTATTGTTATTTAATATATGTTTTTTATTGTTTAAATTTTAATAAATTTATTTATAAAACAATAAATAAATATTAAATTCAAATTTTAAAAAATGTCCTGAAAATATAACAAATAATATTAATTGAAAAATTAAATTATTTATTAGATATTATAATTAATTAACTTTTTAATTATAAAATTATTATTGTTAAAAAACCTAAGTTTAATATATTTTAATAAATAAATTATTTATTATAATATTATTACATATCATTTTGATAAATTATTAAAATTCAATATAATACTATAAATTAATAAAAATTCAATTAATAAAATACATTTAATTAAATATATAGAATTCTAATTACCCTTTTAAAAAATACTCTTCTTTCGTTATTTTTTTTTACATATAGAAAATAATATTATAATTTAAAAGTTATTATTAATTATAAATAGTGATAGTAATTAAAGTTTTTATTGTAAACGAAAAAACTAAGTGATTATATATATTTTTTTTAAAAACAATAAAATAAAAAAAAAAAATAGTAAATAATATACAATATTGAAAAGAAAAATATAAAATGAATTAACTATAAAATAACGAATTTTACATATCTTTAAATTATAATTCAAATCCTAAAATATATACACAAAAGTTAACTGAAAGCCATTTTTAGCTTTATATATTAATAAATGAGCTTCTTCCTTAATTAGAAAATATTTAATCAATAAATAACTACATGATATACTTATAAAAAATATAATTAAATATATTAAATAATATATTAGAAAATGAAAAAAATGAGTTTTTATAAAAGATATAAAAAAATAATTTAATATTTATACGTAAATATTTACAAAGATATACCCGAATTTTTACAAGTATAATAAACCTTTTAAACAATAATGAAAATTCAAATTCATTTCAGAAAACTATTGAATATTTAGATGACGTAATTCCTTACGTAACAGCACAAAAATTTGATATTTAAAAAATCGAATAATTCAAAGAAACATTAAGATAAGATATGCAAAACATAAAATTAAATTTAGAGTATATAGAAGAATTTATTAAAATATAATAAGATTTGAATAAAAGTGAAATCATTTCTGAAGAACAAAAAATCTTAAAATCTAACATTTAAGAATTTTTAGAAATAAAAAAATACTAATATAATAAAAATATTATTATCTTAAGTTAAAAAAATGACCCTTCGAGCTAATTATATACAATTATTAATTTATAAGATAACATTATTAATATTTAATGTATATACGATTATATTTAAAAAAATTTTTAATTTTAAAATGATGAATTTTCTTTAGAATTCTATGATTTTTAATATTAAGAAACTTAAAATGTTAATTAAGTTAAATTAGCAAAAATAAAATTAAAAAAAAAATGTAAACACGTATTCAAATAAACCGCTTGTAATAGGTATTTCGGGTTCCACACGTTCAGGAAAAGGAATATTATGCTCTTATTTGTAAATATATTTTGGATCAAAATATCTTTGTTAAGATTAATATTTCGATTATGAAAAAATAATTAATGTTTTAAATGGAAATGCAGAATGTAAAGAAGCAATAAATTGGGAATCATTCATTTCTGATATTTAAAGTTAAATAATAAATAACGATTTTAAAGTTATTTTGCTTGATGGTTTTTAATTATTTAATAATTAATAAATAATTGATATTTGTGACGTAAGAATTTTCTTAGACGCCTCTTTGGAAAATATATATCATAGGAGAATGATGACTAAACCTGTTAAAGAATAATATTTTTGGAATTTTATTATTAATTAATATAACTTATATAGATAATTTGTTCTATACAATTAATCCATTAACATTATGGATTCTAATCAAGATTCTATTTTACTTTTTAATTAAGTTTTGGGCATTATTAAAAGATATATTTCTTAACTAAGTTGATAATTTAAATAATATTTTTCTAAACCATTAACATTATGGATTATAATTAAAAAAAAATTCTAATTTACTTTTTAATTAAGTTTTGGGTATTAACTAAATTGATAGTTTAAATAATTTATTGATTTTAAGTTATTATAATATATTTAAAACTTAATTTATATTTATTTATTATATTTACCATTTTTAATATCTAAAAAATATTTTCTTTAAATTTAAAAGTTTTTAACAAATAAAAATTGATATATTTATTATAAATATAATATAAAACAAAATGTTTGTATTTTTTTAATAATAAACCATATTCTTTATTAGAAATATTATTTGCTTAATATAATAATTATTTTTAAAAAAACTAATTTAATATAAATAAAAATAATATAAACATTATTTTTTTAGAGTAAAATAACTGATTTAAATAAAAAAGTTAAAATTAAAGATATCAAAATATAAACCAAAAATTTTAAAAAATTAAATAACTTCTCCATATTTTCAAATTACTGCAATTTAATTTGAATATGATGAATCATAATTTTTTAAAATTAAGATTTTAAACAAAAAATTATATACAATAACAAATTAAACTCATTTTATAAATAAAAATAATATTTCGTATATTGTTTATCCCCGATAAAAATTTAATGTTTTAATAATTAAATAAATAATCAATATAAAAATATTTAATCTAAATGAACTAAGATACAAAAAATATTGTTTTATTTTTTTTAAAAAATATGATTTTAAAAGTAGTTCATTTAAAATATTAATTCAAAATATATATATATATATATATATTATGTCTATATATATATACATATGTATGAATTTTAATCGAAATAATTTTCGAAATTTTCAAAACAAATTATAATTATAACTTTTTAAAGATAAACATTGATATTGATTTTCTTTTTTCAATTAAAAATAGTTAAAAAATTACAAACTAATTAAGCTTTACTTAATTCAATGTAAATTTATCAATATAAACTAAAATCATAAATTATATATAAAAAATAAACAACCCTTTTGAAAAATAAATAAATATACATTTTTTTAAAAAAAAAATAGAAAGAAAATAATTTTTTAATTTTTAGAACTAAATTAGTAATTATGAGAAAAATGTAAAGATTTTAAAACATTATTTTTTAGAGTTATTCTGTATATTAAATAAAATAACAAAACAACTATAATACTTATATATATTTAAATCCAAAGTGTTAAAGATAGGAATAAATCAAATATATTAAAATATATCTTAAATTAAAAAAGAAATAAAATTATTAGAAATAGAAAATATAATATATTATAAATATTAGATTATAATTAAAAATAAATTAATCATAATTTTTTTTTTAGTGTTTAACATACAAACTTTATAAAAATATAAAAAAAAATTAATATCAATTTATTTATTTAAAAATAAAATATAATATAAAAAATATATGGTAAAATAACAAAATTTTAATTAAAAAAAATCAAAATATATTTAAAAATAATTATTTATATAATTCTTAAATATTATTCACTCTAATAATACTTTTATTATAAATTTACAATAAGGACTTTTATGTCCTGACGGCATCTCCATTTATGATTAATAATATGAAATAGTGAAACATATTAACAAAATAGAGATTAAATATCATAAACATGGAAAAATACAGAAACATAATAGACTTCTATCAAACAATAGTAATAAAATTTGTTAATTAAATTTAAAATTCTATCGAATATAATTTTAATATGTTTTTAGTTTTAAATATTTAAGATATAGATACATTTTTATCTAAACTTCATTTAAAGTTTTATTTGTTATTTATCAAATTTTTTTTAAATTAAAAAAAAATATTCTAATTTAATTATTAAAAAAAAGTTTTAAATCATATTATAAACAATAAAAATTATAATTATAATTAATATATTTATAATAAATAATAAGAAAATAAAAATTAAAATATAATTATTAAATTAAATAAAAAATTAATAATAATAAGAAGATAAATAAATGGGTAATACTCAATCAAATTAAAATTATTGTTCTATACAAGGATTTTAAAATTATAAAGAAACATAAAATAGTCTAAAATATCCTAATTGTAAATTATTTAAAAATCCAGAAACAAATAATCAAATAATATAAATTATACAATTTTTTTCTGATTAGCAATCTTTGAAAGAATAAATATCTCTTTATGAGGCAATAAAAAATTCTAATAATTAAAATTTGTAAAATTTAATAGATTTTAAAATTTAAAATAAAAATACAATATGCTCTGAATTCTAAAAACTTCATGTTTTTTATGAATACTATACTTAAACAATAGCATAAGAAATATAAATTCTTAGAAGTTAATAAAAATATACTGAAACAGAATTTTTAGAAATAATAAAATAGCTTATAAATGCATTATGCTCTTTGTAAACAAATTAAGTTTTTCATGGAAACATTTAACTAAAAACATTTATATTACAGAACAAAAATAAATAAAATTAGCTTAAAATTTTAGAATGGATGATATTTTAAAAATAAATTAAATAATATAAAGCGAAGAAATTTCGATTTATTAATATATAAAAAAATATTAAGATCCGTTATAATAAGACGTTTTTTGTTTAGGAATTTGCTTATTAGAAATAGGTACTTTTGAAGATTTTACGGAGTATTGTATATAATAACAATCGATACAAGTAGAAAAAATAGATGAATTATTATAAATGATAAATGATTAGTACTCTTATAAATTAAGAAATTTTTTGAAAAATTTTTTTTAGGAAACAAGTATTTTTTATTTGAGAAAAGAATTTGAGCTGAAATTTCATTATAATAAAAATGATTTCAAAAATTAAAATTTATGTTAAGAATAATAATAAATTTTATGTAATTTTAATTAGATTCCTTCATAAAATATACAATTAAAAAATAATTAATAAAATATAAATATTAATAAACTTACTTTAAACTCTTTTAATAGAACGTCTTCTAAATAACTTTAGTTAAGTACTATGAATTTTGATTATTTTAATTCTACTATAAATAATAATAATATTTCCAAAAATTCTCAAAAAATTGTTGAAACAGTATTTGTTGCTAAAAGTTTAGGAAATGCTAAAATTAATTAGAATACTATTGTTACTTAGTTTTAAACATTAGAATCATAAAAGGTTAATATTGGAGAAAAAGATTTATACATAAAAAAAATACTGGAGGAAATAAAAGAAAATTAATAAAAAATTGTTTCAGCTAAAACTAATTGTACTAATATAATTGAATAAGAATGAAAAATGTAATATAAATATAATCGTAATAATATGTAATTTAAAAAAAAATGAATATAAATAATATATAATATTAAAAACATTATTAAGTTATAAAAACTAATATTTATATTTAACTTAAATTTCTTTTTTATATTTATTCTTAATTTATAATAAAAATAAATAAAATAAAAATATTTTTTTTTAATATAATATTTTAATTTAAAGTTTTTATAATTATAATAATATTGAATAAATACCATAATAAAATTCAGATAATATAAATATAAACTAATAAGAATTTATTTTTATAATACTAATATTAAAAATAAAAATAAAAGAAAGGTTACTATTATAAATTTTAAATTTAAATATTGTAAATATAATATATTAAAAACATTGGATTTCATAAATAATAAAAAAAAAAATTTAATAAAATTTCACATATATTTGTATAAAAGATATTTTTTAAAAATAATTATAATAGATTAATTATAAATATTTAAATAAATGTTAATAAATAAAATATATTTTAATAAATTAATTTTTTTTTTTTTTTTTATTTAAAATAAATATTTTTGATTCATGTTTATAATAATTGTAATTCCAACATTAAATAAAATTGAATTACATTATATTAAATTTAAAGTACGAAAATTTAGTAGATGATATTAAAAAGTCAGAAAAATTGATATTATTAAATTTACAAAAATTTAAAATCCCTTTAAAAAATGATTATATTTTATATAAGATATAAGCGTGGAAAATATTTTTAAAGTTCCTAAATAATATATAAAAAATATATTTAAAATATAAAAAATCTAATACATTTATTAAATAAAAATATAAAAAAAATAAAAATAAAAATTAAAATTAAAAGTATAATGTTATTATAAAATTATTTATATTATTATAATGGATTAATAACTTAAAGATAAATAATAAATCATATTATTAAAACTAAAATGACAGTATTTCTTATTTTAACATAATATATTTTTTATAAAAATATATTTTTTAATAATTAACTAATATTTAATAAACAAAATTATATCTTTTTTATAAATATATATTAGTTTATCTTTATTTTAATATTTTCATTTATCTTAATTAAATATAAATTATTAAGTAATTTTTCTAAATAATAAAAAAATTAACATCAAAATTAAAATATATATATATTTTTATTAAATATTTGTTCATAATTTTTTTAATATATTTATTTATCTTAAATTAAATTAAATATTATGTAATTTAAAATCAATAAATATATATATTAAGTTTTTTTTATTTATAAAAAATAATATTTATTTTTTGATTCCATATTAATGCATCAACATATTTTGTTATTTAATTCAAATAATATAATTTAATTTATTTGAAACTGTTTATGTTAATATACATATATAAATAATATTAAGTACATTATTTTTTAAAAATAAAAAATAAAAAATATTTATATATAATTTTTTAAAAAAATAAAAATGGAAAATGATCCACATATGAAATTCCAATTATTAAAAGCGTTTATATAAACGCATACCAAAGTAAGAATAAAATACAAACAATTAAATTAACGAGTTAATACCTAAATCGTGAAATTAAACAAATTACCTCCATTGTAAGTTTAAAAATCATTTCCAGTAGTATTTTATGATGGAAAAATATTATTAAATACATCAAAACATAGCTTAAATTATTCTGATTAAATATATTCTGGCTTATCAGTGTCGAAGATAAATACATCATCAATAGACATATTAACAAACCCCATACAATACTAATAATACAAATACAAATTCAAATGCAAATAGATAATATCTAAAAAAAATAGAAATGATAAGTAAAACATAACTTTCATTAAATGCCTAACGAATATTAGACGATTTAGGAAATAATTCAACAGTAGTGAAAGATTCTGTAATATAATAAAAAAAGAGAAAAAATAGCCGAACAATAAATAATAATAGTATAAGTATTAAAGGAAAAAAAACCGACAAAACATTTATAAATAACAGTAATAACATTGTATAAGATTATATTACTCCTATGGATTTCATTCATTTAATTAGAACTGATCCTGAAATTGCTGACGAATTTTGCTATTTAAATAGATAATCGAATCCTTATGATTTTAAAATAGTAGATTTTAATTAAAGAAATCCAAGAGAATATATGACTATTTCAGTTAGAGGTATAACTCATTTTATTGATAATGAGGCGGAATTCAAAACCATTGAAGAATGGGAGCGCGAATCAATGATGTTTCATAAACTGAAGCAGATTTTATTTTTCAAATAATATAAAATTTGGAAGAATTTCTAGATTTGGAAAAAATTAATGAGAAGAAATATGATGAGAGAATGTTCAAATGTACTTTAATAATAATTATTTGCTGTAGATAGAAATTTATAACCTGCTATATTAGAAATTAGAGGTTTGTGCTTGGAAAGTTAAGATTTTAGATATATGGATATGAATATATCAAGTGCCTAGAGATATGAGGAATTCAAAAAAACGTAAGAAGCCTTCCGATTATCAAACACTGATTTTAGCTTTGAAAGAATGGAAAGTGAAATAAAAGATTTAGTGGTCCAAAATTGCAAAAGATCATTATAATCTTTCAAAGAAGAAAACAGAATTCCTTTTAGTGACTAAAACGAAGAGGATGAAATAAAAGAAAAAGCACCTTTATTAGTCGGAGATGAAACAGGAAAGGAAATGCCTTATACGTAAGAAGCCACAATAAGGACTCATTACAAAAGATTAAATAAATTTGTTAGATTAGTAGACTATCTTATTGTAGATTCAAAAATTTCAATGATGAATAATTCGACTTAATCAATTATTAAATATTTAAAAGATCATAGTGAAAAACACGGAGAAAGGTATTCTTCATTGTCATCTATGATTGTGATTGAAGCTTATTTTGATAATGTTTACTTGAGATTTTTACCTGATAAGGAAATTCTAAAAAGTATTTTTGAAGAAATTGTGTCCAAAAGTATTTAAAGAATTTGCCAAAAACACAAATAGTTAGTAAATTTAGAAGAATTAAGGGAATTTATAAAAGTTGAAGATAATAATTAGAATAAAGAAGATGAAGATAGCATTGATTTATATTCCATTATTACTCAAGATTAGTTGTTTAGATAAAGCTAATTTGAAATTGGGGAAGTGCTGGGATATTCTTTTGATTTTGTAGAAAAATATGCAAATTTCTTAATTGAGTTTTTACACATTTATCATGAAAATAACTCTATATAATGGGATAAAGTAGAAGAATATGAAAATGCGAAATTTAAAGAAATGATTTAAGAATTTAGAGATTAAGATTCCCGACTTCAAGCAATAGAACCTAATAAAGAATTAGGATTAATATTTTTCGATAATTCAAAATTAAAAGATAAAATAAAAAATGTATCAATAAATTGCCTTAATGAATTAACAAAAATGCTTCCTGAACTTTTATTTAAAAAAGCTTCTAAATTTTATATAAAATTACATTAAGATAATTAAAGAATAGCAATAGCACCTGTGAATGTTGATCAGTTTATTCAACATAACGAAAATGTAAATACTATTGCTAACAAATTAGAAGAAATGACTTCAGAAAATAGCGAGATTTAAGAACTTTTTTTCCTTTTGGAAGAATTCAAAATTAAATTGCCAGAAATGTATAAGGTTAAAGTTAAAGAAGCAGCTACCTAAATATAAACTTTAAGGCAAAAAATACAAGATGCATAAGATTTGGCAGAGTAAAACTTGAAAAAATTTCAAAAATAACTAGATTCAATGGTTCCTGGAATAAAGGAAGATTTAAAAGACTTAGAAGAGCACCTTTCTTAAATTGATTATGCTAAAATTGAAGCTCCAATAGCAGAAACATGTAAACAAATTCTGGAAATAGGTTTAAAATTGGTTGATATAGAAAAATAGAGTAAAAAAATAAACGAATTTTAATTTGCAATGTAAATAGAATTAACTTAATTTGAAAAATTAGAATAATTTTCAAAAGAATTTAAAGTTATAGAAAAATTATGGACTGGAAAAAAGTAATGGAAAGAAAGTATTTAAAAATGGAGTTCTCAATAATTCTAAGAAGCTGACTTGGAAGAAATATAAGACATAGTTGAAAAACTTTCAAAAATAGCAAATAATTGCGCTAAAGAATTAGAAACAAACGATGTAGCTAGATTATTTAAAAAAGAATTGGAAGATTTTAAAATTTTTCTTTAATTACTTCATTCTTTAAAAGACCCTGCTTTAACAGCTACAGAATAACCATGGGAAGAAATAAGATCATTATTAAGAGGTTAAAATGAATTATTAAAATAATCATCTATTTTTGAATAATCTCCAAAGTTAGTCTATTTTCATGATATAAACGATCCCTAATATACTATTGGGTGGATAATCGATAATGATATAGTAAATTATAAAGACAAAATAGCAGAAATAGCTTTAAAAGCAGCGAAAGAAATTGAATTGAAAAAAATGGTAGCTCATGTTGAACATTTATGGCCTTCTTTTTAAATTTAGGTTTAGTAATATAAAGACAAGAACGATGCTTATATTTTGGGAAATAACGAAGATTTAATTTCTAAACTGGATGATACTTTACTAACTGTAAATAATATTTTAGCCTCAAGGTTTGTAGGAAGAATATTCGACAGAGTAGACGAATAATAGAAACTTTTTAGATATCTATAAGAGTTATTAGACGAATGGTATGTACATTAAAGAAATTGGCTGTATTTAGAACCTATATTAACATCTCCTTATGCAACAAAAATGATGCCAAAAGAAGCCAAAATATTCAATGCAGCAGATGCAAATTGGAAAAGATTAATGAAGTAATTAAAAGATAATAGTAATGCGAAGAAATTGGCTGATGATTATAAGAGTAGAAGCCATTATAATATGTTGAAAAATAATAATATAACTTTTGAAGTCATTTAGAAAGCACTTGATGAACTTTTAGAAAGGAAAAGAGAAGTTTTTTAAAGATTCTTCTTTTTGTCTAATGATGAACTTTTGGAAATACTTTCTTAAGCCAAAAATCTTAAGTCAGTTATTCCTCATTTAAGAAAATGCTTTGAAAATATTGTCAAATTAGATTTTGATTATTAGGACACTGCCACGTAATTTTATAAATATAATATATTTTTTTTTAGTATTTAATAATTTTCCATTAATTATTTATTAAATTTTTTTATTTTTCTTTCTATTTATAATGATACATAATAAATATCTATTCGTTTAAAAAATTTTTTAATTTTTTAAAAATTTTATTATGAAAAAGACATTTTATTTTAATTAATTTTTTTTTATATTTTTTTAGAGCTATGATTTCTGCAGAAAACGAGAGAGTTGCTTTGAAAAATTACCAAGCAAGAGGTGAAGAAGTGGAAGGATGGTTTAAAGATTTAGAAGATTCGATGAAACATTCACTTAAGAGTGTAATTAGATAAGCTTTAATTAAGTATGAAGATGAAAATACTGTTAGATAATAATGGGTCATTTCATTTCCTTCTTAAGTTGTATTAGTACTTGATGCTGTTTATTGGACTAAAATAACTGAAGAAAATTATCTATCAGGCGATTCTAATGGCGATTTATATGATTGGCTAGAAGGAAATATATGTAAATATTAAAAAAATATCATAAAAATTACATATATTAATATTTTTAAAAAATAAAAAGCATAATTGGAAGAATTAACAGAATTAATCCGTGGATAATTAACTGATTTACAAAGAAAGACATTATCAGCATTAGCTGTATAAGATGTTCATTATCGTGATATAATCGAAGAATTAGCTTAGCAAGGAGTAGAGAATGTAACAGAGTTTCGTTGGTAACAATAGCTTCGTTTTTACGTTGAAGAAGACTAAATATTTTGCAAACAAGTAAACGCAAAACTTCCTTACGGCTATGAATATATCGGAGCATAATCTCGTCTTGTAATAACTCCTCTTACAGATAGATGCTGGATGACAATAACAGGTGCTTTAGGAATTAAGTTAGGTGCAGCACCAGCTGGACCAGCAGGTACAGGAAAAACAGAATCATGTAAAGATTTAGCCAAATCTTTAGGCAAATATTGTATAGTATTTAATTGCTCAGACCAAGTAAATGTAAAAATGATGGAAAAGCTTTTCATGGGTTTATAATATACAGGTTCTTGGACATGTTTAGATGAATTTAATAGAATCAACATTGAAGTTCTTTCCGTTATTGCTTAATAAGTGTTGACCATTAGAGAAGCTCATTTAAAATTAGCTCATACAGGAGAAAGAATATTCAACTTTTTTGGAAAAAATGTTACTTTAGGGTCAACTGCTGATATGGGAATTTTCACTACAATGAATCCTGGTTATGCTGGAAGAACTGAGCTTCCTGATAATCTAAAAATTTTATTCAGACCAGTGGCTATGATGGTTCCTGATTATACTTTAATTGCTGAAATCATGCTTTTCGCAGAAGGTTTTTCCAATGCAAAAGGATTGTCAAGTAAAATGACTAAATTATATACTTTGAGTTCTGAATAACTTTCTTAATAAGATCATTATGATTTTGGTATGAGAGCTGTGAAAAGTGTTTTAGTTATGGCAGGAGCTTTAAAAAGGGCAGAACCGGATATTTCAGAAGAAATCGTTTTAATTAGATCTATGAGAGATTCCAACGTTCCGAAGTTTTTGAGTTTTGATATTCCTTTATTTAATGCCATTGTTTAGGATTTATTTCCTGGGTTAGATATTCCAGCTATGTAAGATAATTAGTTAGAAGAAGTAATTAAATATAGAATAAATTAAGAAAGTTTAACTTTCATACCTAGCTTTATCGAAAAAGTCCTTTAATTCCATGAAACGTTGAAAGTTAGATTCGGAGTTATGATAGTAGGCCCTACTATGAGTGGAAAATCATAATGTATATAAATTTTGAAATAATCATACTGTCATTTGAACTAGAAAATTAGAGAAAAAACGAAAAAGCACTAAATACACACTCTGATTTTTAAAATATTTTATTGTCAATACTTAATCCTAAATCTATTTCCATGGAAGAACTTTATGGAGATTTCGATCCTCTTTCATAAAGCTGGACAGATGGTTTGGCTTCTACGTTGATTCGAGAATATGTAAATATTGATAATTAAGATAAAAAATGGGTACTTTTTGATGGACCTGTAGATGCTTTGTGGATTGAAAATATGAACACTGTACTTGATGATTCAATGACTTTATGTTTGTCAAATGGTGAAAGAATAAAGCTTAAACCTTAGATGAGAATGCTTTTTGAAGTACAAGATTTAGCTGTGGCTTCACCTGCTACTGTTAGTAGATGTGGAATGGTTTATATTGATGAAGATGTTGTTGGATTAGATGCTATTGTCGATAGTTATTTTTAAAAGGAAATTTATCCAATACTTGAAGTCCATAGAGATTTTGTTAAGAGTTCTTTTTTGGGATAATTTAAAAAAATTGTAAGTTTTATGAAAAAAAAGAAATTAAATTAAACTATTCCTATAGTTGAGGCTAATATAGCGATTGCTTCTTGCAAGAATCTTAAAATTATATTACAATTAGATTAAAATGCAAATAATTCTTTAAAATAAGAAAATTCTAAAAAAGCCCTTGAAAAAATTCTTGCTTGGGCTCTTTCATGGGGAATAGGGTCTACTTTAGTTAGTAATAATGTGAAAGAGTTTATAGATTGTTTAAATGAATATTTCTCACCAGAAGCACTTCCTAGAGGAAATATATTTGATCATTATTTTACTTTTTCGAAACCTGAAGGGGAATTCGTTCATTGGGAAGAAATAATTCCTTAGTTTAATTATTCACCTGAAATGTCCTATTTTTAACTCGTAGTTCCTACTTCGGATACTACTTGCTACTCATGGTTTTTGGATAAATATATTAGTTTACTACTACCAGTTTTTCTTACTGGAATGACTGGAACTGGAAAAACTAATATTGTAAATAGTACACTTAATTAAATGAAAGAATAGAATTTTATTGCTACATGTGAACTTACTTTTTCAGCTAAAACAGGAAGTTTAGCTACTTAAGGATAAATAGAAGGAAAACTGTAAACATAAAGAAAAAATAAAAAATAAATACTTATGCCTCCACCTGGACGTATTTTAGTAGTTTTCGTAGATGATATAAATATGCCTTCTGTAGAAATTTACGGAGCACAACCACCAATAGAACTTCTTAGGTAATACTAAGATTATAAAGGATTTTATGATAGAAAATCTTTATTGTGGAAAGAAATTGATTAAACTGTTCTTATTGCTGCTGCAGCACCTCCTGGAGGCGGTAGAAGTGTGTTAAGTTAAAGATTTACAAGACATTTTAATATTATGACAGTTCCAGATAATTAAATAGCGTCTTTAACACATATTTTTAATAGTATTTTTTGTAAATTCTTAAAAGTGAAAAGATTTAGAAAAGAAATTATTGAATTAGGAGAAAATAGAAGCGTAGTTGATGCTACCCTAAATATTTATTAATACATATCAGAATAACTATTACCTACTCCAGCAAAATAGCATTATGTGTTCAATTTGAGAGATGTTTCAAAAGTTTTCTAAGGATTACTTTTGGCAAAACCTTAAATAATATCTTCTGTAGATAATTTAGTAAAACTTTGGATTCATGAAGCGAGTAGAGTTTTTTATGACAGACTTATAAATGAGGAAGATAGAGGATGGTTCATGGATACAATTCAAAAATAACTATTTATTAATTTCAAGGTTGATTGGAAAAAAGAATAAATTTTCTTTTCAGAAACACCACTTATTTTTAGTGATTTTATTAAAAAAGGAATAGAATAAGAGGATAAAGTGTATGAAGAAGTTAAAGATTTCTAAAAGCTAACTTCTATAATTAAAGATTATATGATGGAAGAAACTAAACTTAATCTAGTTTTGTTTAGAGATGCAGTTGAGCATATGTCTAGAATTGCTAGAGTTTTGTCCTTGTAAAGAGGACATTTTATGCTTGTAGGAGTTGGTGGTTCGGGAAAAAAAAGTTTGACAATAATGGCTTCAGCTTTAGCAGGATGCTAGTTAGATACTATAGAATCGAAAAAAACTTATGGAAAAAAAGAATTTAAAGAAGATTTGCTTAGAATGATGAAAAAAGCAGGTGTTTACAATAAAGTAAAATTTATTTTAATTATTTTTTTTTAATAAATTAAAAAAATAATAATAGAGAGTTACATTTTTATTTTCAGATACATAAATTTTACAAGAAAGTTTCTTGGAAGATGTAAATAACTTATTAAATAGTGGAGAAGTTCCCAATATGTTGTAAAAAGATGAAATAGAGGAAATAAACTAATTAATCTAGCAAGAAATAAAAGATAATAAAGTATCCGATACATATTAATACTTTGTAGAAAGAGTGAGAAGCTAATTACATATCGTATTAGCTTTATCTCCTGTGGGAAATGCTTTAAGGGTACGTATGCGTATGTTCCCATCAATAATAAATTGCTGTACAATTGATTGGTTGAACCCTTGGCCTGAGGAAGCTTTGTTTACTGTTGCAGATATGTTTTTGTAAAATCTAGAATTTGAAGGTATGACAAAAGAAGTTAAGAAAAGCCTTGCGTTAAGTTGTGTATTTGTGCATTAAAGTGTAGAATTATAAACATAGAACTTTTTTAAAAACTTAAGAAGAAGAGTTTATATAACGCCGAAAAGTTATATTGATTTAATTGAAGGATATAAAGAATTATTAAAAAATAAGCAGGAATAAATGGAGTCTTAAAAAAATAAACTATCTAATGGTCTTTTTAAATTAAAGGAAGCAAACGATATTATTGCTGAACTAAAAGAAAAGCTTACCGAACTTAAACCTGTTTTGTAAAGAAAAACTATTGAATAAGATGAACTTATTAAAAAGTTAGAAATTGATAGTTACGAAGCTAATAAAGTTAGAACCGTTGTTAAAGAAGAGGAAGTTCAAGTTAATGAAAAAGCTTAAGAAATTCGAGAAATGAAATTTGAAGCTGATAAAGTTTTGTAAGCAGCACTTCCTATGCTTGCAGCGGCTAATGAAGCTTTAAATATTTTAGATAGAAAGGTTATTTCAGAAATTAAAGCCAATAATAATCCTAATGAACTTGTTTTATTCACTTTATAATGTGTATGTTGTCTTTTTGATGAAAAATAAGATTGGGATAGCATAAAAAAATTATTAGCAGATCCTAATTTAGTTTCTAGAATGAAAAATTTGGATGTTTATAGCATTTCGCCTAAAGTAGAGAAAAATATAAAAAATAAAATAGCTTCAAATGAAAATTTCAATCCTTAAAAATTAGCTTCTATTTAAGCTGCGGCAAAAGCGATTTGTGAATGGGTTTTGTAATCGACTTTTTTCTTATTTTTTTATATATTTTTTTTAAATTAATAATTAACATAGAGCTGTTGCTAATTTTACAGATGTAAATAAATAAATAAATTCTAAAAAAGCTATAGTGGAAAAAATGAATAATGAATTGTAAAAAGCTAATAAAGAATTAAATATCAAGCAATCTGAATTAAGAAAAGTAGAAGAAAAAGTAGGTAAACTTGAAAAAGAATATAACGATAATAAATAAGAAAAAGATCGGTTAGACAAGGATATTTAAACTATTGGAGATAGACTTATTAGAGCTGAAGAGTTATCTACAGGTTTAGCGGATGAATAAATAAGATGGAAAGAAACTGTAGGAGTTTTAGGAGAATAGATTAAATTATTAATAGGAGATGTATTTATAGCTGCATCTTCTGTTACTTATTATGGACCTTTTACAGGCACATATAGAGAAGAATTAGTTTAATAATGGCTATAGAAATGCTAAGATTTAAATATCCTTGTTAGTGAATAATAAAGTTTAGAATATGTACTTGGAGATCCAGTTTAAGTATATATTTTTTTATTTTTTTAAAAAAATTAATTTTTAAAAAAAATATAAAAGATAAGAAATTGGAATGCAAAAGGTTTACCATCAGATAGTGTATCGATAAATAATGGCATAATAGTTTTTAGTTCAAGATCATTCCCTCTTTTAATTGATCCTTAATTATAAGCTTCTCGCTGGATAAAAAATTTATAAGCTGAAAATAGTTTATTTGCTTTAAGAATGAACGATGAAAAATTATTTTAAACTTTAGAATAATGTATAAGGATGGTAAAAAAAAAACTATAATTTATTAATTTTATTTAAACAAAAATAGGGATAACCATTAATAATAGAAGATATGGAAGAAACAATAGAAGCATCATTAGAACCATTATTAATGAAATAATTTACTTATTCAAAAAGAAGAAAAATGATCAAAGTAGGTGATTCTAATATTGAATATGACGATAATTTTCGTTTATACATCTAAACAAAAATTCCAAATCCAAATTTCCTCCCTGAAATATTCATAAGGGTATCCGTAATAAATTTCACAGTAACAGAACTAGGTTTAGAAGAATAACTACTAGGTGATGTTGTAAAAAAAGAAATGCCATAAGTCGAATTCGAAAAAAACCTACTAATTATTGAAATAGCATAAGGAAAAACTCAACTAAAGAAAAACGAAGATAAAATTCTTGAATTACTAACCAGTTCAAAAGGTATGATACTAGATGATGTTGAATTAATTGAAAATTTGAAACTGTCAAAAAAAACGTCAGATATAGTTAAAACGAAAATTACTGAAGCTGAAGTAAAAAGAGTAGAAATTGAAGAAGCACGTTCTTAATATAAATCCGTAGCTTAAAGAGGCTCTATTTTATATTTCGTTATCGCAGATTTACCTTTAATTGATCCTATGTATTAATTTTCATTAGCTTATTTTAACAAATTATTCTCTTTAATTATTGAAAATTCGCCTAAATCATCAAATATAAACGAAAGGGTTGATATTCTAATAAAACAAATTACACTAACTATATATTTGAATATATGTAGGGGTCTTTTTAATGATCATAAACGTATTTTTTCTTTTCTTGTAAGTACAGCTATATAATTAAGAGAAAATTACATTTCTAAACCCGAATGGCATACATTTTGTAGAGGAGCTCCAATTTTAAAGGAAAAGGCGTAGCCATAGCCCCCTGAATTGCAACTAAACGCAAAAGTTTGGTAAAATTTATGCCAGCTCTGTACTCATATTCCCTGCTTTGATTTATTAATAGCTAGTATTAAAAGTTAACCTAAGGAATGGAATTAATGGATTCATTCTTAAGAACCTTTTTTATAATAATTCCCTTCTAAATATAAAGCGGAGTTAACTGTGTTTTAGAAATTGCTTCTTGTTAAAACAGTTAGAGAGGAAAAAACTCTATATGCAATGACTTATTATGTAGAAAATTCGCTTGGAAAAAGATTTGCTTCTAATACAGCTGCTATTATGGAAGAAGTATATAAAGATACAGATTTTAAAACTCCTCTTATTTTTATTTTATCTTAAGGAGCTGATCCCCTTTTGAATTTATTAAGATTTTCTAAAGATATGAAGGTTTCTTAAGAAAAGCTTTCCATTATTTCTTTAGGATAAGGATAAGGGCCAATCGCATAAAAATCAATTGAAAATGGAATTAAAAATGGAAGTTGGGTAATTTTATAAAATTGCCATTTAGGTAAATCTTTTATGCCAACTTTGGAATAATTAATTCTTAACTTTAATGATTAAAATTAAGAATTTTCTCCTGAATTTAGACTCTTCCTTACTTCTATGCCTTGTGATTATTTCCCTGTCTCTATTTTATAAAATAGTGTTAAATTGACAAATGAACCGTATATTTTAATTTTATATATATAATATTTACATTTTTTTTTTTAAAAAGGCCAAAAGGAATAAAAGCAAATATATTTAAAACTTACGGAGAAATATCCGAAGAAAGATTAGAAAATTGTACAAAATTAACTTCTTGGAAAAAACTTCTTTTCTCATTATCCTTTTTCCATTCAATAGTCTAAGAAAGGAGAAAGTTCGGTCCTTTAGGCTGGAATATACGTTATGAATTTAATGACTCAGACCTTGATACAGGAATAACAATTCTAAAAGATATGTTAGAAGCAAATGAAGAAATTCCTTGGGACGCATTAAGATATGTTATTGGATAAATAACTTATGGAGGACGTGTTACTGATGATTGGGATAGAAGAACATTAATGTCAATATTAAATAATTTTGTAACAGAAGAAGTACTTAAAGAGAATTACAAGTTTTCAGAATCGGGAACATATTATTAACCTTCTGCATAAAATTTACAATTTTATAAGTAAAAAAATACAAAAAAGAATATATTTAATAAAAAAAAGAAATTTTATTGAAAATTTTCCTGCATTTGAATCACCCGAAGTATTTGGTATGCATGAAAATGCAAACGTAGTGTTTCAACTAAAAGAATCAAAATTAGCATTAGAAACAATATAATCAATATAACCTCGTGAAAATTCCTAAGGTAGTCAAGGCGAAAAGACAGCTGATCAATTAGTAGAAGAAATGTGTAAAATATTTGAAGAAAAACTCCCCCCAATATTAAAAAGGGAAACTCAAACACAAAAGAAATAAGAAGTTATCGACTCTTTGCAAGTATGCTTAAGCCAAGAATGTGAGCGTTTTAATAAACTACTACTAATAATCAAAAATAGTTTATAAAATTTACAAAAAGCATTAAAAGGAGAGGTAGTTATGAGTTTAGAACTAGATAATTTATCATAAAGTTTATTATTAAATCAAATCCCAGATATGTGGAAATCTAAATCTTATCCTTCATTAAAGCCTTTATCTTCTTGGTTTGAAGATCTAGTTAAAAGAATTGACTTTTTCAAAAATTGGTTATCTTCAGATTTTCAATAAAAAACTTATTGGATTTCGGCTTTCTTTTTCCCTTAAGGTTTCTTAACTTCTGTTTTGCAAAATTTTGCAAGAAACAATAGAATAGCTATAGATGCACTTAACTTTTCATTTAAATTCACTAAGTTTGTTGACCAGAGTTAAATATAAGATTATTCACTTAATGGAGCATATATTACTGGGCTTTTTATTGAAGGTTGTTAATTTGACTGTTACAAAGGAGTTCTTGATGATAGTGAACCTGGATAAATGTATACTTAAGCTCCAGTTATTGAATTCATTCCTACTGAATAGTATAAGCCTAAACCTGAAGATTATAAAATGCCTGCATATAAAACCACAGTTAGGGCTGGCACATTATCTACTACAGGACATTCTACAAACTTTATTATTGCTATAGATACCCCAAGTAAATAGAAGTCTGATTATTGGGTTTTAAAAGGAGCTGCTTTTGTTTGTGCTTTAAATGATTGATATAGATTTTCTATGCACATAAGTTTAATTTGCTTTTTTTAATTATATATAATTTACATTTTAAAAAAATATGTATTTATTTTAAGATTATTACTTTTTTTCTCGAATTGAAAAAATAAAATATCATTATAAAATATTTAAAATAATATTATTTATTAAAATAATAATGAAAATATTTAATTCTTTTTAAAAATTAAAATTAAATAATTTATATCTTATATATTTATTATATATTTAAATTTTTTTTTATAATTTATATTATAAACTTTATATATTTAATATAATTAAAAAAAAATGTTTGTTAATGAAAGTGTTTAAAAGTGCTATGATGCATGGAAAAGTCTAACTTTAAAAATAAAGAGAGAAAGGTATTTAAAAAATATAAATCTAATGTATATTTACAGAAATAAAATTAAGGGAAATAGTTTTTCATATGCATATCTTTTAAGATAATCAAGCGAAATAAATATGTTTTAATAAATTAAAGGAAAATATAAATGTAATTTTACATTTAATAAAAAAATAATAAATTATTTAAAAAAGTATTAAAAAACAAGATAATTATTTTACAATATGATTCTAATTTTTAATTATAAAATGATTATTTATAAATATTTTAATTTAATAAAAAATTTTAAACACATAAAATAAAGAGAAATTCAAATACAAAATTAAAGGCAAAAATAAAAATAAAAGTTAATAAAAAAAGTTTTAAATTAATTGAATAAATACAAAAAATTATAAAGAAGAATAAAAAAATATGTATAAAATAAACTTGAAATATAAAAACAAAAATTTTTTAAAATATGGAAAATTATATTTCAAAAAAAACAATAAGAAAACTATATTTCTAAAATGGCTTAATATATTTTTATAAAGAAATATATAAAAATATGGATTTAATAGTTTAGAATTAAGGAAAGACTTAAAAAAGAATAGGAAATTTTAAATTGGTTTGATAATTAATAAATTAGGCTCAAACAATAAGTTCCTAAATAAATAAATTTAAATAATTAAGTTTCTCCAATAAAAATAAATACAAATAAATCATAAATTGATATGATCACTGATAACTCTCATATTAGAATTTAATTTTTAAAAGATTAATTAGTTTAAATTTAAGCTGAAATTTAAGAAAAAGTAATAGAATACAATGATCTTAAAAAAGTATAAGTACAGGATTAATAAGATTTGAAAATTTATATGAGATCAATAAAAAATGATATATAATTAATGCTTTAGGAATTAGAAAAAATTAAAAAATAATTAAATGAATTTTGATTAAACTACTGTGTTTTTTAAATTATAACCTCCTCTTTTAATCATCTCTCCTCAGATTTGTTATTTTTTCTTTTATAAGTATTTTGCTTGCTTAAATTTAAATTTTTTATATAAATTATGTCTTCAATATTTTTTCAATTTAACAAATAAATTTAAATATTTTCTTTAATTAAATATATATTTTTTTAATAAGAAATATATTAAATTATAAAAAGAGTTATATTTCTCTTATAAAATCCAATTACTCAATAGAATATTAAAAATATTATATTTTATAATCTTTTTTTATACTTTTCTTTTGAAAAATAGATTTTTTCTTAAATATTTATATGAAATATTGTAAATTAATAATTTAAAAAATAAGAATAATAAGAATTTATTTATATTTAAAATTTATAAAATAAATAATGAAATATTATGTTTTAAATATATGAAAAAATATTTTTTTTAATAAATTAAAATCTATTAATTCATAATTAACATATTTAAAATAAATATATAATTAAAAATTATTTATAATAATATATTTATTTAATTTTTTTAAAAATAATATGAGAAAGAATAAAACTATTAAATATATTAAAAGTTCTGTAATTTTTATTATAATTAAAATATAAAATAAATAAATAAATTTGTTATATATTCCTTTTCTAATAAAGCAGGAAACACAAAATAATTAGGATTAAAGCAATTAATTTTTTTATATTTATGAATATACATTTTATTTCAAATATAATTCTTAATCATATAATCATGATTAAAAATTTATTTGGAAAAAATATTAAAATAAAATTTATAATATAATAAAACTTTTATCTTAAAAAATTTAAATATAAATAAAAATATTATGAATTAGCAATTATTAATTTACAATAAAAAATAATTTCTCATAATTTTAAGACAATAAATTGACAAATTATTTTTAAATAAATTCATTTCATATTTTTTCTTTTTATTATTAATATATTTTTTATAATAATAAGAAAATTATATGATAATTATTAATTTTAATTTATAAAAATAATATAATTAATATTTGATAATTTTAAAGTATCATAAATATTTTTAGTTCTAATGTTTTTTAATTTTTATATAATTTATTTTTAAAATCTAAAACTCAAAAAAAAAAAGACTATTATGAATTTTTTGTCAAGGCTTTTTTTTTTGATTGAGTTTTAAAATTAAAATTAGGAAAAAAAAAAAATATAAGAATAAATATTTTTTATAAAATTATTTATAATTGATTGACATTTAAAAAAAAAAAATATAATAAACTCATATTTTAATAAATATTATTTTTTATTATTATTATTCTTTATCCTAGCGAATATATATATATATAAATCAAAAAAAATTTAATTTACTAAAATTTAAAAATAAACAACAGAAAATATTATAAACACATAATTAAAAAGATATAATATATTATTATATTAGATTAGATATTAATCATTAAATTCATGTTTTTTATTAAAATTTATTAAATTAGTAAAATTAATACAGAACTTATAATTGTTAAATTTTTATTATAATCTTTAAAGTCATATTTAAAAAAATTAATTACCTTTTTAAAAAAATAAAAAATAAGCATTAATAATTAAAATAAACTTATAAAAATAATTATAAACGGATGTTTAAATATTATTGATAACATGATTAAATCGCGGAATGGTTTTATAAATAATAAGTTAATATTTTGATTTTTCTAAATTTAGCAATAAGCATTAGAAAACTAATATAATAATAGTTTATACTGTTTCTGAAAATCTATAATTAATATATTTTTCAATCATTATTTTAGGGTTAATAAAATAAATTGCTTTTTTAGGTCTTTTTTTTATTTATTTAGTTTATAAAGAAGATATATATGATAATCATAATTATAAAGAATGCTACTAAAGAAGAAAGTACAAAAAAAATATTAAAAATCTTATAATTCTTCTATTTTTAGTTTTATTATAACGAACGAAAATTTAAATAACCCTCTATCATTTTTATAATAAAAAAAATAGTAATATTTAAGATTCTCATGTGTGTTATTTATCTATTTTTTCTGTATTTATTTAAAAAAACTCAATCAAAATAAAAGCGATAAAATTATTGATAATGCCTTTTTTTTATTTTATTTTTTAAATTTTTTCTTCTTAAATAATATAAGAATTAACAGGAAATGCAATATTTTTTTGTTATTGAATATTTAGAAAACAATTATAATTATTATTATTAATCATAAAACTTTTTAAATTCCTTTGCTGCAAGAGTAACAATAAAAAAAAATATTTTTAAAAAAATAATTATTTTATTAAAATAAAAAAAAAACTGACTATCCGTTTTTAGTGTACCCCTGTTGATACTATTAAAACTATTATTAATGCATAAGATAATAAAATATAAAATCTATATTAATATAAAAAAGATGCTATTCAAAAAAATAGGCCTTAAATTGCTTTATAGAGGAATTACTCCTGTTTTATTTAGAAATGGGCTAGTTTATAGCATTTTTTTATAAATTTTATTTATTAATTTTTAATAAAATAAGCTATTAATTTCCTATATTTATAAAGCCAAAAAAATTAATTTGGGAAAAATTTAATTAAAATAGAGTTTGATTTAAATAAACATTATTTATATTCAAAAAATTGTGTAAGAATTAAATAAATATTCTATGAATATTAATAATATATAGTTATATAATATATATAAATAATTCATATAATTTTTTTTATACTATATATGAAAATTTTAATTTTTGATTTATATTTTTAATACTTATTTTATCTTATTTTATCTTTTACTATTATTACTTATTTATGTTTATTTTAATTTTTTTATTTTTTGTGGTAATTTAATATTTTAAAAAATAAAAAATAAATTAAAATATAATAATGGATTATCATATTTCTTTTATAGCAGGTTGTAATTCAGGAATAGCATCCTTTCTGCTTTCCTAACCTTTTGACTTTATAAAAGTACAATAGTAAACATATTTAAACAAATATAAAAATTTTTTTGACTGCTTTATAAAAATTATTCAATAATAAGGCTTTAAAGCTTTATTTAGAGGAGGATCTATGCCTTTAATAGCCCAAATATTTGAAGGATCCTTACTATTTGGAATAATAGATTGTTTAAAATATAAATTTTAAGTAAAATCAGATATAAGTATGTCAAGCTTATTTTGCTATTTTGTAGCAGGAGCCGTTGATGGTGCGTTTCTCTCTCCTTTTGAATTAATAAAGATTAGGTTTTTTTATTTTTATAAACTGACTGTGTTTTATTAAAAAAATAAAATAATAGACGTTAATTATAAAGCAATTAATAATGCTAAAAAGAAGGTATTTTATAAATAATAAGGTGCATTTATAAAGATAAAGGTATTTTTTAATTTGAATAAATTGAATATTTATAATTTGTATCTAAATTTCTATTATTTAATTATCTTTTTACAAATACAATAAAATATTTATATATATAAAAGGCATTTTAGGATTTTTTAGAGGATGTTCATCGACAGTATTAAAAGAATCTTTTGGAAATTCGATATATTTTTATTCTTATTATTATTCTGTGTCGTTACTTGATAAATTAAACGAAAGAAAAAGTGAAAAAGTGAGATCATTTGATTCTTTTCTTTGTGGTAGTTTTTCAGGTTGAAATTACTTTAAAAATGATATATATATAAAAAATATAATTATATATTTTAATTTAATTTATTTATTAGGAGTTGCTTACTGGCTTTTTATTTATCCAATTGATACTATAAAAACTATTATTTAATCTCATGATAAAAACATTCCTAATGTTTTCTAATATACAAAAGATATAATATAAAAAGATGGATTTTATAGATTATATCGTGGCATATGTCCTGTTTTAATAAGATCTATCCCCTCAAATGGTAATTAATTATTTTATTTTTACTTAATTAAATAAAAAAAGCCGTATATTTTCTTTCTTTTGAATAATCAAAAAATTTGTTAACATAAAAAATTAATATTAATTAAATTGCATTCTGAAAGTTTTAAATAAATACATTTATAAAAAAAAATGCATATTTATTTATCTTTTATATTAACTTTATTTTAAATAATTATTAATATTTCCTCTTTTATTTAACATAAATAAAAACGAAATAAAATACGATAAAAAAATAAAAATAAATTAAGTTTTTATATTAAATATTTTAAAATAAAAAATATTCATTGTTTTAGTTTTTTCATAATAATTTTGAATATTCATTTCTTAACTTTAGTAGACAATCTCCAGATATTTTATTTACATTTGTCTTGAGTATTTTATTTTAATAAAATAGTTTTAAGTTATTTATTATGGGTTTTTTTAATTAAGTCTTCTTATTATACTTATAATTATTTAACTTATTTAAAAATCAAATTATTTACTTCGTCTTTTAAATTTAAATCTCCTATAAGATTCTTATTTTTTAAAGGCTTTAATTTATTTAAATTATTCTTTTTAAAAATTTCTTATACTTTAATATCATGAACTCTATTTAATAAACCATTAATATTTCCTATTAAATTATCCACACTTTATCCTGTATGAGAATTATAATCTTATTAGTATTATTATTTATTTTGTTATTATTATTAAAGTATCTATGTCTTTTATTTCTTTTGATCTTTATGGATACCTAGTTGAATTTCATATTCTCTTAACTATTATTCAAATCCATCATTAGGGCAAACAATACTTCTTTTATTCTTGACTTAAGTATAAGTATCAATAAATTTAGTTTTATTATTTTTCATTAAATAAGCAATTACTACTGTACTACTTCTGCTCATTCCTGCTGCACAATGTACAAGAACACTTCCTCTTTTTAATCCTTCTTCTATATCTTTATTTGTTTTTCAAAATATTATGCTATGTTTTGGTTTTCAGAATCAAGTATATTATATTGCTTATGTATTATTTCATCTTATGTTTAATACGATATGTTTAAGCCACATGCAGTCGTAATTACTGTTTTTATGTTCTTTTGTTTTAAACCGTATATATCTAACGCAGCTGTATAATCTCCTAGCCATAAAGCGCCTAATTTTTTTCGTCTTTGTCTTAGGATTCATCAATTATTTTATTACAATTTTAGTAATTTGAATATAGACTTTTGAATAAAAACATATTTATTTTTAAATTTATTTTTATATAAAATTTTTTTCTTAAATTTTTTTTTTTTTTTTTTTTTTTTTTAATTAAAATAAAAATATTTTAATTATTTTATTATCATTCTAAATTTTATTCAATATTTTATATTTGCTTTTCTGTTTCCTTTCTATATATATGAACTGTAGTATATCCCCAAGACATATCTAAATTAATAGTTTCTAATAAATTCCAATCATTATTTTAAGGCAACTTTTTAGTAAATGTAATGAAAAAACTATCTTATTATTATTTAAAAAAAAATAATAAAAAATATTACTTTTATCTAGTAACAAAGAACATTTTTATAATTTCAACATTAAGATTGGTTCATAGCAAGTAGAAGCTGCAAAAACAACATTTGCATTACTCCAATCACACTTATAAAATAAATTATTATTATTTTTATTTTTTCTTTACATTTATAAAATCCCCTTTAATGAATTCTATTTCTGGTAAATTATATTACTATTGCTTTTATATTTATATCATTTCATTATTTATTTTTTCAAAATTAAAATTTATTTAATCTCTTAATTTTAAACTTATATCATGTAAACTTTATAAATATTCAATTCCGATACATTTTGTAAATTAATGAAGTAATGAAGCTGCAAATACTACTTTTCCTACTCCACAACCTAAATCATAAAAATATCCACCATATTATTATAATCCTTTGTGTTTTTCTTTTATTATTTTGAATATATAGGCTAAAGATTAAAAACTCTATAAATTTATTAAAATTAAATTATGGAATAAAATATTATAATTTACTGTTTCACCATAAATAAAAGAATTATATTATAGTTCTTTAGTTGATCTTTCTTATTTACTTGCTTCTTATGCTTATTAAAGTTAATATTAATTTGTAATCTGTTAATATATTATATATTTTTATTATAAAAAATTATCCTATTCATTCAAATTTAATATATTTATATTATTTTATTCGTTTTTTTATTTTTGTAGTAATCCTTAAAAAAATTGTAAAAGATCTTTTTTTCTTTCTTAACTTAATTAATTTATTAAACTTTCATCATGGTTAATCATATTAATAAATAAAAATGTATTTATTTATTTATTTATATATTAATATATTTATATATTAAAATAAATATTTATTTATTATTTTATTATATTTATATTTTATTTATTTATTTATTTATTATTATTATTATAATTTTAAAATTTTATTATACTTTTTTATCATAATTTATTTTATTAGACTTAATATTATTTATTATTTTTTTTGATTCAAAAAATATTTTTAATTAATTTATATATATTTTATTTTTATTTTAAAATTTCTATTTTTTATCTTTTAATATTAAAATAATCAATTTTAAATAAAATAATATTTAATTTTATATTTTTTCTAAAATCATAAATTTTATACATTTTTTTCTGAATTTTTGACATAAATTTGTTTTATTTTAAATTAAAAATATTTTTTATAAATACTAATCATTTATATATTTCTTTTTACCTTTTTTTTTTACAAATTTAATTTTTTTTTTTATTAATATTAAAATTCTTTATCATTTACAAATATTATTTAATTATTTTATTTTAAATGTAAAATTTATTATATTTTTACCATATCTTCAAAGTATAGCTTTTGCTCTTTCTTATTGCATTTTTTTATTTTCCAAAATATTTTTGAGAATATAAATTTTGTGAATCTCGAAACTGATTAAGGTTTATTTTTCTGTCCATAATATTTATTTTATTATAAGAATTTTTTGATATAATTTTATAATTTACTTAAATTTCCAATATCATAAGCAAACCTTATAATCTTATTTTTGCTAATAGATTTATATAAGTTGTATTTAATATAATTAATAATATAGGATTAATGTTGAATATTATTTGTTATATTAAATAAATGCAGTTTACATTAATATATAAAAAAAATTCATAATATTTTTGCTATATTATAATTGTTTCTATTAATATAATTTATATAATTTTTTTTTTTTAATATAGTTTTTGAAATAAGTTCTATTTTATTCATAAATGATTTTTTGATTTTATTATTTTATATATAAATATTATTTATAAATAGTTTATTTATTTTTATTAATTATTTTTGTTGTTTTCAATTTTTTTGTATGATTTTTAAGTTTTTTTACTATTTTTTTTATAAATATTTAAGGTTTTACCTTTTGTGTATTTTTTAACCAGCTGGTTATAAATACATATTATAAATTAATCTTTTTATATTAAAAATGAATATAATTAATATTGACTTACAAAGAAATTTATTAATAATATAAACTTTATTTTTTATAAATAAAGTTATTTTGATTATAAATTAAATAAATATATTTGCTATATTTTAAAAAATTACTTTAAATGTTTTGATTTGTAATTTATAAATTATAAATTTTTAATTTTAAAAATAAATTTAATATAATTTTAAAAGCAAATTATACAAGCAATAATATATGAGTTTAATAATCTTATTTTTAAATTTAAATATATATTAATGAAAAAAAATGTATAATTATATATATCAAATAGTTAATATCAAATAAATAATATTCTAAAATTATTAATAATAATTTCATTTATTAAAATGATAATTTTATTTAATAAAATTTAATTTGTATATACTTTTTTCTTCTTTAAATCTCTGAAATCCAAAATCTAAATTTTTAAAAATTTAATATTAATAAATAAGCAATTTATATATATTAACATAAAAATGTAAACAAATAATTATATTATTTTAATAATCATTACTTTCTATAAATTTATTTAAAATTAACATTACATTTAAAAATATTAATTTGAAAAACTTTTAAAATTAGCTTTATTTTATATATTTAACAAAATAAGTTTTTACATAATATTGTTCAATAATATAACTGATTGTAAAAACTTTTTAATTTCTTAAAAAATATCCCTATACAAAAGTAATTTTTTTCATTTAAAGCTAACATAAATAAATATTTTCAAACATAAAAATTAATTAACTTTTTTTACTTATATAATTTTAGATTCAATTGTATTTTATTTTTCTAATTTACATTTTATACAAATTAATTTACTTTGTAAAAATTCATTGTTTATGATATTTATTCTTATATGTTATCATACTTCCTGTTTTATTAATTATGAAAATTATTTTAGTCAATTAATATTTTTTTAAAAAATATATGAAAAAAAAAACATATATACAAATTGTTTTTAATTAATAAATATAAAAGGTATATTTATATTATTATTATTTATATTTAATTATTAAATATTAAAAAAATAATTATTTTTTATTACTTTTCATTTTTTAATTAATTTAATATAAAATAATTATCATTAAAGTGAATGTATTTTAAAAAAAAAAAAAATTATAAAAGATATTGAGAAAAAATATAAAAAAGTTAATATAAAATACTGAAATAATATTAAATATAAATTTAACACAATTCTTTTTATAAACAGATTTTTAATTTCAAAAATAACTACTAATAAATATTAAATTAAAAAAAAAAATTAATACAATAAAAAAAATGGGAAATTGTTGTTTAGTAAGAGAAAAGCAAACAAAAAATAAAACAATTAAATCAAAATATATAAAAAATATACCATTAAGTGCAACGAACACATTATAAGAACAAGAAATATAATCAAAAATACAAACACTTTAATCGCAAAATAATTCATTTAATAAAAATGAATAAGTAACTACAAACTTTAATTAAAAAGATTCTCATTAAGATTTAAATCAAAATATTAACTAAGAGTAGCATTAAATTATTATATCTTCATCTGAATAAATATAAGAAGAAAATATCAAATAAAACAAAATTAAATCATAAAAATAATAACAAAATGAGCAAAATAAAGGTATTTTTAATATGAGTTAATAAAATTAATATGATATAAGTTCGAAAAGCAAATTAGAAAAATAGGAAATAGAATAAGATGAATTTTTAGCTGAATTTTAAGAAATTTTAAAAAAATAAATCTAAAAAAAAGAAGAATAAGAGTCAGAATAAATAATAAGTTTAGAAAAATAGTCTGCAAAAACTAGTATAGAAAACGAAAAATAAACAAAGTAATAAAATTTTGAAAAAAAGATTATTTTAACCAAAACTTAAAAGAATTCATAATTAATATAATTAAAACCAACTTTATAATAAGAAATAAATGAAATTAGTTTAAAAATAGAAAAAGAAAAAATAACAAAAGAATAATATCAATCATAAAAATATAAGAATAAATTTAATAAAAAAATCAAAAAAAAATAGAAGCATAAATGATTGACGAAGAACTAAGAAAATCATAAAAAAGAAACCTTATTAAAAAATTTAATTAAAGTATTTATTCAGCTAGCCCATTATTTTCAAACTTTAATATAAATTCTAATAATGAAGGAAGTAAAATAGGAATATAGTCTTTGGAATCTGCTAGTAATAGTTAAAAAAATTTTTCCGAAAGAAATTCGAGATTTTCAGGAAAAAAATCTACATATAGTCTTAGAAAAACTAATAAAGGTATTTAATTCTAAGATACTGTTTTAGATAAAATTTTTATTCCAGAATAAAATTTACCTATAAAATTTTTGAAATTAAAATAATCAATAAGAAATATTTTTTTAAAGTTTTTTTAATTATATGTGAGCATATTTTTATTTTATTAATGATTATAAAAGTCAAGATTTATTTATTTTTAATTTTTAATAAAAATTTATAATAATTTTTTTTTTTAAAAAAAAAAAAAAAAAATAGAGTTTTAGAGCATAATTAGAAATTTTTATTCATTTTGAGATTTTTAAAAATATAGATGGATTTTATTAAGACGAATATTATTTTAGAACAAGCATTTTCTAAAAAGGAATTAATAAACAAATTATAATTATTCACATCCTTATTTTTTAACAACCGGATAATAAAAATTAAATGAAACCACAAAACAAAATATTATAAAATAAGCTTTTTATATGATAATTATTTCTACAGTAAAACTTTTAAAATTAAATATATTGACGAAGTTATTATTTTAGATGATATTTGTTATTTTAGATGTTACATTAGTGCTTTTCCTATATTAAATGATAATAATTAGTATATTTAATCGAATTAATGAAATAAGAAGAAAATTAATAAATTACTGTTGAAATTTATGAAGCATAGATTTTAAATGCCTTTAATGGAATTCATGAATTTCATTCTATTTTTTTAAAAATAAATATTTTTCTTAATTAGATTTTACAATATTTTCTTGCAATACAAGTATATAATATATAATAATAATTATTTAAATTTTTAATAATTTTTCCTTAAGATTTTTAATTTAGAAAAGAGGAAAATATATCAATTTAAACATTTGAATAATTTTTTGAGAAAAAAACAGAATTTTAAATCGAAAAAGTGAAGAAGTTTTATGATTTTTTTGTATTTTAATTTAGAAAAAATTAAGAAGATATGGTAAACTACTTTAAAGAAATTTGCTTGAAAACACTTTCTGATAAATCGTAGCTGAGTGTTTATTTATAAAAAATTAAAATAACAGAAATTAATTAAACGGAAATTCATGAGATTTTTAATTTACTAAATTAAGAAGAACGCATATAATGCTTAATTTATATTTAACAAGTAAAAAATTAATAATAATGTAGTTTTATTTTTAATTAAAAAGGAAATTAATAAAATTGCATCAAATCAATATTTTATATGGAATGAATTTACTAATTTTCTAAAAAAAAATTATTTGAAAATCTCCATTTTATTAAAAAAATAATTTGAAGATAAAATATGCAAATTTTATAATAAATTTATTTTTAGCTATTAAATTTATTCTAATAATTTATTTTCTTTCAATGAAACCTAAACAGGTAAAAATCACTAAAAATACGCGGAAATAATAAAAGCTTAAACTAAAAAACAAAATGAAAAATTTAATATTATATATTTTAATTTTAATTTAGAATAATTTCCTGTGATTTTTCATGAAGAAGTTTAATTAATTTAAAATTATTAAAATAACTAAAAAATTAATGGTCAACTTTATTAAAAATTAGATTAAAGGTATTTATTTTAAACATTTCATTTTTAAAATTATTTCTTTAAAATAAGTGAATGTCATTTGGTTGTACTTTAGCACGGTTTTTAAGGAAGTTCTTATGATATGAGATTAATTGCTAATATCCTCTCTATCCATTTTCCAGAATGTATTATATTAAACTCTTAATCTAATCAATATGATACTAACGGAGATATTAATTAAATGGGTAAAAAGTTAGCCTAAGAAATAAGATAATTTATAGAATCTTAATTTATATTTTATAATAAATAATTAAAAAGGTTAATCTCAATTTTTATAAGCGAAATTATTTTTATATTTAAAGGCTAAGCTTTATTGGACATTCTCTTGGAGGCGTATTAATTAGAGCTGCATTAGTTTATTTACAAGACTTATCACAATATTTTTATATTTTTATAACACTTTCTTCTCCACATTTAGGATTTTAGTTTAGTTAAAGTAAATTAATTGATGCAGGTATTTTTAGTTTTGTTTAAATAAATAAACATATGTATTTTTATTTTTTTTAATTATATTTTAATAAAAAAATAATTTAGGATTATGGGTATTAAAAATAGTGAAAAAAGCACTTTCATTAAAATAATTATCTATGACAGATTAAACTAATATATACGATACCTTTATTTATTAGTTATCATGCTAAAATACTATTAGTTAATTCTAACATATAATTTTAGTTAGTTCTCCTTAAGATTTATATGTACCATATTATTCAGCTAGAATGTAATATGTTGAAAAATAAGAAGAAGATTAAAATCAATAAAAAATATCTTTGTAAATGTTAAATAATATTTTCAAAAATGTTTAAGTTTAAAGAATACATAGAATTGATGTTTCTTTCACTATTTTAGGAAAGTATTTTTTTCTATTATTTAATCTAAGCATAATTTATATTATTTTTTTATTTTTTTTATAAGAAATATTGATAACTATATTGGTAAAACTGCTCATATTATGTTTTTAGATAATTAAGAATACTTAAATATAATTTTTTCTCATTTTAAAGAATTATTTAGTTGATTTTATTTTTAATAAAAAATTTATGTATATATACTATTTAAAAATAAATTAATTTATTCAAATAAAATATAATTAGTTATGAATTAAATTAATTAAAAATTGTCTGTATTTAAAAATAATGTATATATATAAATTATATTAGATAATAAATAATAAAATTATTTTTTTAGAGGGAAAATTATTAAAAATAGATATTAACAAATAAAAATTTTAATTTAAAAAAAAAAAATTTGAAAAAAATGGATTAACAATAACCTTAAATATAAGATGAATAACAAAATATCAATTAAATTAGTAAATTTAAATAAAAAATATAAAAAAGAAATTTATATTAATAAATAAAAGCTGAGAATATTAAATAAACGTAAAATTATGAATAAAAATATTAAGTTTAAAATAATTTATAAGAAAAAATGGAAATAGAAAATTAATAAATTAAACAATAATTATAAAATCAGAAAGAAGAGAAAAAAAAAGAATAAAATAAAGAATAATTAATCCAAAGTTAACAAGAGTAAATATAATAATAAAATTTTTTGAATTAAAATGAATAATATAACAACTCTAATCAAAAAAATAATTAAGAATTTTCCGAAAATCAAAAAATTTAAATATAAGAAAAAAATTAACAAGAATCATAATAAAAAAATGAAAAATAATTATAAGAAGAATAAGAATATAATTAAAAAGAAAATTCTTAAATTGATAAAATTAGTGATAAATAATATTAAGAAATTAAATAAAATATAAAATAACAGTATACAAAGTAAATATGTTAGGATTTTTAAAATAAGTAAAATCAAGAGAAAACCTAAATCAAACTTGATTAAAAAAATATATAATTTTAAGATATAAAATAAAATGAATTTATTCAGATTAATTAATAATAATAAATATAAGAAATTGAATTATAATAAATAAATAAAAAACAAGAAGATAATATGTAAAATCAATAAACAAAAGAAAATAATTAAAATAAATATAATAGTAAAATAGAAGAAAAATAAGAAAATTTAGAAACAAATTTCATATAAAATTAGCAAAATATTTAAATATAATAAAATTAATATATTATTTAAAAAAATATATAAAATGAATAAATTTAAATGAAATAAAATAAAAGTTAAGAATAAGATTAAAGTAAAAAATAAGATTATTATTAATAATAATAATAATAATAATAATAATAATAATAATAATAATAATAATAATAATAATAATAATAATAATAATAAGAATAAGAATAAGAATAAGAATAAGAATAAGAATAAGAATAAGAATAAGAATAAGAATAAGAATAAGAATAAGAATAAGAATAAGAATAAGAATAAGAATAAGAATAAGAATAAGAATAAGAATAAGAATAAGAATAAGAATAAGAATAAGAATAAGAATAAGAATAAGAATAAGAATAAGAATAAGAATAAGAATAAGAATAAGAATAAGAATAAGAATAAGAATAAGAATAAGAATAAGAATAAGAATAAGAATAAGAATAAGAATAAGAATAAGAATAAGAATAAGAATAAGAATAAGAATAAGAATAAGAATAAGAATAAGAATAAGAATAAGAATAAGAATAAGAATAAGAATAAGAATAAGAATAAGAATAAGAATAAGAATAAGAATAAGAATAAGAATAAGAATAAGAATAAGAATAAGAATAAGAATAAGAATAAGAATAAGAATAAGAATAATTAAAATAAAATTAAAAATAAAAAGAAAAAGAAAAATAAAAGAAAACTAATCAGCATGTTTAAGAATAACCATTAGTAAGATCACGAGTTTAAGAAAAATATAAATAATTAGAATAATAGAGTGGAATAATAGATACATATTATAAAAAAAAATATTAGGAAATAAATGAATATGATGAATACGAAATTTTAGAAAAGGAAACCAAAAGAAAAAAAAAAAAAATCGATGAAAAAGAAGAAATAAATATAGAAAATTTATTAAATACATAAAATTAAAAAAATAGTCTTATAGATGATCAAGAAGATGAGAATTAAAAAAATAAAAGAAAAAAAAATGAATAATTTTCCAAAATAGGAATGTGTCATATGTGCAAAAGAAAAAATCGACATGTATATGGATGTTATAGAAATTGGGTACCTACTTCTTGTAATAAGTTTTTTTGTATAGACTGTTTAATTAATGGTTTAAAAGAAAATATAATTCTTATTATTCAAAAAGAAGAAACTTGGAAATGTCCTTATAATAAAAAAACTTGCCTATGTAGACATTGCTTAAATAAAAAAGAAGACTTTTAAGTTCCTATCATTGAAAATGAGAACGAAATAACAAAATTATTTGGGGAAGCTTATTTAAAAAAATAAAATTTACAAGATTTGCAAGAAACGAGAACTAATATTAAAAATAAAATAAAAAAATTAACAGACTTTAATGGATAACTTATTCTTAAATTACAAAAATAAGCTAATAAACTAACTAAAAATGAAACTGTATTTTATAATAAACTAATTCATGATAATCTTTAAGTTCTTGATTCTTTATCTTAAAAACTTATTTAAAAAGATAAAATTAAAGAAGAAGAAGGATAAGGAAAATATCATTATTATTGATTAAAAATATAAATAAAAAAATATAATATTTTATTAAAATATATATAATTACTTTTTTTAATATATATAATCTTTAGATTAATAAGATATTATTTGAATAAACTTATTAATAAAACTAATATAACAAGCTAATTTTTTTCATTAACATGACTAAATTAAGATTTTAATATTGTAAAAAGTAAAAATAACAGCATATAATATATTTGAATATACCCAAACATGATTGCATTTATATTTAACCAATACATGTTTTTTATATTACATAATTAAATATATAAAAGTATATATAATAATAATTAAAGTTTCTATTTATTCTGCATTACGATAGTAGGCTTAATATTTAATTGAAGTTTGAACTCTAATAGATAAAAATTCATTTTTATTAATAAATAAAAAAAGTAAAGCCATTATTATTGAATCTTCTTTTTTTTCTATAAATATTTGCATATATCTTATTTGTTCATATAATACTATTTTTTCTAAAAATAAGGTAAATACATTTTTCTGGCTTTTTGTTGTTGATTGAGTTCTTAACAAAAAAATATAGAAAAAATACAATATAAGTAATCCATCAAAATATGCTTAACTAAATACTAATAAATTAAAAAAAAAAAAAATATTCTTATCATAAAAATAAATAATGATTGTTTATTTTACGAGAAAAATATATCCCTGAAAGTTCCCATTTATATAATAAAATTCCTTATATATATTCATTTGGAGCTTCTAACATTTTCTATTTTTAAAAAACTAAATAAAATAGCATTTTATTATTTAAATATATACTCCTAGTACTACATTAATTTTAAAAGATATTGAAGATTTTATTATTTTACCATTTAATTAATATTTTCATCTTTAAATATAATTGATGTTTTTCAAGAAACATTCTTATAAAATTGCTTAATCTTTTTAAAATTATCTGTATTTTAATTCTTTAAATCTTAAAAATAAATTAAAAATTATTTAAAATGCAATAAATTTTATGAATTTATATCTTTTTTTTTATAGTCTAATAAAACTTTAAGCAAATGTTTGCTTTTTTAAAGAATCTAAAATATCTTTAATTTACTTTTTTTATCAAAATTTGATTCTTTTTAAATTTTCTTTGTAGAATTTATAAAAATCATTTTTTTTTTTTTTTTCTCATATAATAATTTCTAATTCAAATGCATATATTTTTATTCAATTACTATAATTTTGATTTTTTTTTTAACTATCTAGTTAATGTCTATTGTCTAATAATAGTATTATATAACTATATAGATCTTAAGGAATTTCTAATATTGGTAAATATATTCCATCTCCTTCTTCCATTTAAGGCACTAGTTTGTTAAATAGTATGCCTTAATTTTGTTTTAAATATTTTTTTATAGTTTTCGCTAATTTTTGGTGTTTTTTCTTTTCTATTTCCTTATTATCTTTTTTTCAAAATAATTTCTTATTACTTTTTCATATTATGCTTGTTATTAATCTGTAATAATTATAGTATTGAAATCTAAAAAATCAGAAGATGATTAAGTACTATATTAAGAGAATTATAACCTTACATAAATAATAATTTTTTTAATAATCTTTTATTTTATTAAATAAAATAAACTTTTTGTTTCATAAAAAAGTGTTTCTCAATTTTCTTTTTTAAAATAAATAAATAAATTAGTATTTAAGGTTTAAAAATAATTTTTTAAAAAATGGAATATTTTATTCAAATATGAAAACAACCTAAATATTATTTTTATGACAAAAATATACTAAAAAGTGTTTTTTTTTAAATAAATTTAGCAAAAAAAAACATCATTATTATGAATTTAAAGCATTAATTCGATTTTTTTGTTTAAATAAAAATTACGAGCTTAGCTAAATATTTATTTATTTTTAAATTATTATCATTAAAAATTATTTGAATAGTTATATTTTAACTTTAAAAAATCACATTTTTAATTATAAACTAACTTAATCTATATTTTTAATCCTAAACTATAAAAAGAATATTAAACTTTAGTTTAATTTATGAGAAATGCTGAAATACATTGTATATATTTTAGGAAAAAAATATTTTTTAATTATTTTTTTAAAAATTATATCTATTATATTTACAATTTGCTAAAGAGTTATTTATTAAATCAAAAATTTCTTATCATTTCATTAAATATTTTTTAATTTTTCCTTATCAACTAACTTTAAAAACATAGTTAATATATAATTAGCTCATCATAAGTAAATTTTGCAAAAAAATACGAGTTTTTGACACATTCCTTTTGCACTAATTAAAAATGGATTATTTATTATTCTATTTATCCTATTTTATAACTTTATATAATAATTTATAAATAATATAAAAAATATTTTAATTATCTATTTTGAAAAAAGATTCATCTTTTTCTGGACAAAAGATTAAATTTCTAAAATACAAAA